TCTTTAATTACATGATGATGATGATTTTGCTATTGCATTTCCAATGTATTTTGGATAGTAACCCCTTTCCAGATATATAGCTTACAAATATTTTCTCATGAAGGGACTTTTAAAGGTAATTTCTGGTGGATGTGTTGGCGGGAGTGGGGAACACACAGATATATAACAGCTAGAGGTTTTTATCCTCTTAGAAGATAAATAAATAATCACGAGACAACGTTAGTGAAAATATGGATGGTAAAAGACCATTTTGATTAGGTCTTAGGTAGAAATAATGTGTTACTAGAAACTGGGGAGAAAAGGATATTCTTCTAATTGAATGACAAAGATAGAGCAATGGAGGCAGAGGAAGTTCTAATCATTTGCTTCCAGCTATGGAGCTAGTAGTGGTGGAACGAGCATTGAGCTGTGTCTGGAGTGTTAACCAACCTCCCTCTCACTCCACCAGGGTATACAGTGTGGGGCCAGCAGTGTTGGCAGAGGTTGGTGTTCAAGATGCTGCAGGCCAGCAGAAATCCCTTTATCAGCCTGATAAATTATACTTTATCTCAGTCAGGTTTTCCTAGACTGATTCACGTTAAGCAATAATGTTTTGGAGTTTTTTCATTTTAGGAAGTTGGAAGAGCTGTAATAATTAGATATTTCTCATATTCCAGGCACCCAAAAGAAATCAAATGAGATGACTATGTGTGGAAGTGCCGCAGAATGGGATAAGGATTTTACCCTCCTCCAGCTTAGGGCACAGTGTCTAACATGGAGAGATTAGATGCTCAGTACATATGTGTGAATATAGATGAACAAAGAGAAATCAAGTGCACACAAACACTTAGACATCCCCACTGGATTGGGGACACTGTGAGTGCAGTCTCTGTGGCCTTGCTGTGTCCTCAGTGCCTTACAGGATGCCATGAAAGTAGTCTGTACTCAATAATGTTTGTGATTCATAATATTCTAGTGCTTCAGCTTTTACCTGGAATTTTTATGGGACAGACTTGCTCTTTGAAGGCAGATGAAAGGACTGACAGGAATTACTGACTTTGTATTATGTCAGAGTCCCAGTTACAACCATTTGACAACATGGACATTTCCTATGATAACCACTAAGGAGAAAAGAGACAGGAAAATCATCTATAAATACATGGCAGGAAAAAGGGGTTTAAGGGTTATGAGCTAAAAGGTTGTAGCTCAGAAGGCAGTGCTCCCAGTGACTCAGTAGTAGGCTCCTCTAATCCTCGGAAGCTCAGGGACACAGGGCATGTATTGAATTGGAGAAAACAGGACCCATCCTAGAGACAGGGTTGCTTTGTTTCCTAGGGAACTGTTTTCCCCAGTGCAATTAGCCAAAAAGTATGTCCTTCTCCACCCAGTGGCCATAGGGTGTGTAAATACCCTTGCCCATCAAATAAAGAAGCCAACAGGTTTGACTGGTCTATCTAGTTAGTTGTGGGAGTTGGTGTGAACAGCAGGGCCTTTGAGTGATGTGTTCACAATGGCCTGGTGGTCACTCTGACCAATACAGTTGTTGATCCTCTGCACGGGAGCCAGAGGCTCACAGGCCTGAGGCAACGTGACCAAGAATTTCAGCTTTGACAACAGATGCAGAGAGGTTTGGAGAGCAAATGGAGTGCTCAAGGTGCCACACAGGCACCAAGCCAGGGTGACAAGAAAAGAAAGAGAAGTGTATGGGGTCAGGGAGGGGGAGCAGTGTCAGTGAATAGCGAAGACAAAGTCTAAGCATTGGAAAAGCTCTATTGCAAGATGTGTACACACATGCACCTGCGCGAGTGCGTGCACCCACCCAAACACACACACACACAATGGAATACTGTTTTACATCAATAAAGATAAAACTCTTGCCATTTGCAGCAGTGTGGATGGAACTGGAGCTGGAAGGGATTATGCTAAGCGAAATCAGTCAGAAAGAGAAAGACAAATATAAGATGGTGTCACTTACATGTGGAATATGGAAAAATAAAACAAAGGGTCAGATAAGGCCAATCTGAAAAACTAACCATGAAAGCTGAGGGAAAGGGGTAGAAGGGAAGGAATGAGGACAAAGAAGGGAGGGCGTGCAAGGGTCTTTGGTGGTGGGCGCAGTATGGTAACAATGCTTGAGGCGGGGCGAGATCCGATACTTCTATAATGGAAACAATGATGTAAAGCAATATTAACAAAATAAAAAATATTTTAATAAAATAAAAGTTCTACTGATCTGTGCTTGTGTCTGGGTCAGGAAAGCTCTTATAACTGAGAAAATGCAAAGGGAAGCTACAAGCCAGCACCACGCGCACAAGGAAAATAGGGTGCACAGGGTTGGCGGTAGAGGAGGCTGACTGGCTCAGAGCAAGGTGACATTTATATGTAGACAGTCAAGATGTTTTTCCTGACTTCTGCTCAGACTGCTGAAAAGGAATAACATAGATTGGGTGACTTAAACAATAGAAATTTATTTCACACAGTTCTGGAGCTGGGTAGGTTCACAATCAAGGTGCCAGCAGATTCCATGTCTGGTGAGGACCCAATTCCTAGTTTACAGGTGACCATTTTCTTGAGCCTGGTAGAAACGGAGAGAGGAACACTCTGGGGTCTCCCTCATAAGGGCATTGATCCCATTCATGAGAGGTCTCCCTCTGGACCTCATCACCACCCAAATAACAAAAACACCTGGGTTTGGATTTCAACATAGACATGGGATGGGGGGTGAGAGCAAATGTATACTTTGACAACTGTTTTTTTACTAAATCTGCATATAATTTATTCTAGTACAATATCTTGTTAGCAAACAATTTACTAATATCAAGGATCAGGTCAAAAAAACTTCAGGCATTGCCTGAAAAAAGCAGCAGTCACATGATGATAGCAGTGGAAAGAGTAATTTACAAATGGTGTCCCAAGCAGGGACCCTTAATCATCCCTAAATAAGAAAAGTGAGAAAACCAATGTGTGTAAAGGTTTCAACTCAACTAGGCCTATTTGACCTTTCACTAAGACTGGCGGGGCACCTTGCACATGGATTGATTTAGTAGGAGTCTGGAGAATAAAATTGAAATGAGGTGGTGCCAAAGCAGGTTAAACATTATTATTGAGATTTAAACATTACAAAAGTTACAAAGTCTGAATTAAAAGGAGATATTTTATCAGTCTATAGGGAAGTTGAGGTCAATGTCCTATCAACTTTTTAACCCTACTGATTTAATCAGGGTTCTGGCATTCACAGCTATTCCAAAACTGTTGATTTTTTTTTTTTAACTTGAGCTGGAAAAACAGACAAAAGACTATATGTGATATCAGTCTAATGATTTATCTTAAGAATCTGTGAGCTGTGGAATTATGATTGTTAGGACTGAGAGACACCTGCTCACCTTTCTGAAATGAGTTGCTGAAAAGATATTCTGAGAGTTAGAAAGGTACGGGATGTGATGTTGACCTTTCAGAGACAGGAAACCTTTGATGAACTATAGGACACCAAGACAGTTCATTTAAAAGATGGTTTCAAAGCGTTATCTGAGGCTGGTTTTGTACGTGCGTTATTGAAGCCCTGGGGTTGTCTTTTTACATAAACCCAGGAAATAATGGTTCCCGTAGTTGTTCATGTTTGAAACTCTCATGTGACACCTTGACTTCTGGGCTTTGTAACTGCTTATCAATCTCTTTTGTGGACGAAATTAAACTTTCATTACCACTTGACAGCATGGAACTTTCTTACGATGGGCAATAAGGAGAAAAGAGACAGGAAAAGCTCACCAAAATCATCTCCATCTAACTAAGGCAGTGCAAAGAACTGAATAAAATAGATGATAATGACATTTATTTGATTATAATGAGTTCCTGTTCTTGTTTGAGAATAATTTAAGTATCAGCTGCTCACAAAATATACAGATTGTAAATCTTTGTTGCAGGTAGTAGGGTATGCACTTTTAAAACATTTTATCAGAGTAACATTGGTTTATAACATTATATAAGTTTCAGGTGTACAACATTATCATTTGACACCTGTATATACCATCAAAAATCTAGTTTCCACTCACCATCATAAAATCGTCCCTTTTAGTGAATTTCCCTACTCTCTTTCCTCTTTCCGTCTGGCAACTGCCAATTTGTTCTCATAATCTCAGTTTGTTTTTGTTTTTTCATTTGTTTTGATTCTTTATCTTCCACATGAGTGAGATCATATGGGACAACATCAAACTAAAAAACTTCTGTACTTTATTTAAAATATATTTAAATATATATTTAAAATATATTGGGCTATGTTTAGATTTATGTGTTCTTTACCTCTGTCTCTGCCCCACCATGTCTGTCTCTCACATACCCATGTTACATATATATAAATACACACACATACATACATATATATACATACATACATTCTTGTAAAAATAGATTTCCATTATTGCGGTATTTGAAAGGTAGTAATGATCAATATGGGATAGTTATAACTTAGAAAAATTGCATAAAATTTTGATTAATGGACTTCGATGACCATCTACAAAGGTATAGTATATAATTTAGGAACCAGTTTGTTCTCTTTGACACTTAAAATGAAAGACCCCCAAATCAAAGGAAACCTGTAAAATTTATTTGGGGGGGTGCTGGATGTGGAATTAATAAAATTGTCTGGATATATATAGGAAGTTAACACTTCTAAGCTGCTAAACTTAAAATTAGGAATCTGTACCAATAAGATTAAGTCCCAAAGTTGTCTTTTCATTTACTGGACATGTCATTATTTATACACACAATATATCACATCAAGAGTGATACCAAGAATGATGTTCTATTCTGGCCTTGAAACCTAGCAGAGGAGACTTAGAAATAAACTGTAACATATTGTGTGACATTTGAGGTAACTCAAGGTCTTAGGGATGTGGAGTGTAAGGTAATAGCACACAGCACCCCAGATTGCTTTAGGAATCTAAAGCTAACAGGTGTTATCCTCTAGCTAACAGGTGAAAGCAAGGCCTTTGCAGTTGAAGGACTATATGTTGTGCTCTAAAAACATGGAAGAACATGTTGAGTAAGTGCAGGCAAGTTGGAGTTACCAAGACTAGGAATATAACAGGAGGCTGAATCATCCTCTGAAGGAGCTCCTGCTTTTCCACCAGACTTCTTCCTTCAAGACTTTCCTAGCAACTGGACTTGGTCTCCATCTCAGTGTGCCCATGACCTTTTGTCTGATTTTTAGTATTGGATTTTTCACAACAAATTGCTAGATAAACAACATCAGGACTATTTCCCTGTTCTTATCCTAAAACCAGAAAACAGTAGGTGCTCAATACTTGTCTATTAAACACACACATGAATGACTGGCTGGCTAAGTGAATGATTATGCATAGGTTGGGGATGAGAAAGTCAAGAATTGTCTTGATTATCAAACAACACTTCATAAAACCTTAACTATTTCATTTTTCTGTTTCAGGTTACTAGCAGCATATAATAGTCTTACTGATAAACACCTGGCTGGATATTTTAACAATACAAGAATAAGGCGGCATCTCTTGAGATCGGGGCTGGTAAGACTTGGTTTACTTTCTACTTGCCCCCTTGTTTCAAATATTCGCTACCTTCCTGATTTCCTCCTTGAGCTAATCAGTGACATCTTTGCTATTTAGAAAAATGACTTCCTTTCTAAAGATTTATCTATTTGAAGCTATGTTTCAAAAGAGAAAGAGATGTCTTGATGACTGCCAAGTTTCTTATAAATTATTAAGGAAAAATCCTATCAGTTTTCAATAGCATACTTCATTTGTTTATTCTTTGATTTATACATAATTATTAAACATTATATGAACCAGAAACTGTTAAGGATAAAGAGAAGACTACTGTCTTCGGAAAAAAAAAAGATTTAATGAGCACAGAATGTGGTGTGGAAACATGAACAATTCAAAATTTCTCCTTGAATTAAAAAAAAATCATTTCCTGTGATGGTTTATTGATACATTAGTGTCTTTTGTTAGCTCCAAAACTATAATTTCCACAAGATTTTCACTCCTCTAAATGCACTTAATATGAAATCTTTTAAAAATACTATAGTAATCCATTGAAGGGAAGAGATATGGTTATTGAAAGCGTGACTAATGATTTTAGCTGTTTACCTTCTTAAAACACAGTGGGTTTCCTTAACTATTGTTGCCATGGTGTTGAAAGGATCTACACGTGATTCTAATTGTTGTTTATGTGCTTGGCACTGTGGCTGGGTAGATCTCAGAGAGCTTGCTTTTTGTCTCCTGGGGCTTTGTTATCAGACAGACCTGGCTGAAACCTGGCTCTGCCATGTACAAGACATAAAATCTTGAACAAATCCTTCACTTAACTTTCTGAGCTCTAACTTCTTCAGTTGTAAAATGTTATGATACTTAGCCATTGGGATTGTTGTGGCAATTTGAGATGTGTAGTGAATGGTGGTTGTAATTGTTGTGGTAACTATTAACATTATTTTCTCGGAGGGTAATCTGTGAGCTTCCTGTATAAAGGGGAAAGACTTCATATTTCCTTATCAGCATCATCAACAAGCACTTATTGAACACTGGTTATGTGCAAATAACGAAGATAGAGCCCTTTTTCTAAAGCAGTTGTTCAGATATAGTCCTTGGACAGCAATGTTCAACATCACTGAGAAATGCAAATTCTAGAGCTCTACCCCAGGCCTCTTGTGTCAGAAACTCTGGTGTGGGGCTCATCAAACTGTTTTCATCTGGTCTTCCAGGTGATTTTGAGGCAGCTTCAATTTTGAGGCAGCTTCAAAGCAATGAAACCAATTACTGTTTAAAGCAAATGGTGAAAACCTCTGTAGCTTACATGTTTTGCCCTTCAAAGTATTTCCTGTTGTGAGACCATCATTCCTGTGATAACTGTTCCCATTCATTGTTTTAAGGTACCACTTTCTTCACCAATATGTTCAAATTGGTGAAATATGTCTGCCCTATAGGCGCTTCCAGTCTAGCTGTGAGAGATCAGATCTACTCACAGAGGAGAGATCAACCTGTTAACTGCCAAGATGGTACCAGATGTTCTCAATATTGTTTCCCAATTGGACATACATGATATGATTTCCCATGGATAACACATTTTAAAGACTGTAACTGTTAGTCATAATTTGAAGCACAACTTTCACAACTGCACCATTTTATTCTCTTGAAAAATGTATAAAAATGATTATCAGGATCCAATTACTTGTAACAACTCTAGTTGCTCTTAACACCCCAGTGTATTGCAACACCAGCATTAAAAAATTACAGCTTTCAAAATTAAGAAATGTGAGCTTGTATTAGATTTGAAAAAAATTAGGACTAAATAAGTGGAAAGGATAAAGATATACGCTTCAGAAAGTATGTCACCCTCTTTTTTAACAGAGATATAGAAAAATATAAGAAATATGACCATAGGAAGTATTGAAAGAAAAACAAATAAATTAAAAAAGGAAACTACACCTCTTCTGACTTGCAAAGATGACAATTGAAAAGTATCTGGAATACCTTACATCTGCAGTAATACATAATCTGAATAAATCTGAATCACAACAAATTAAATTGCATTCCGGGGTTGGAGAGTGGGAGAAGAGTAGCAAGTGTGAAGACAAAGCAATGAAACCAATTACTTTTTAAACCAACTTGTGAAAACCTCTGTAGCTTACATGTTTTGCCCTTCAAAGTATTTCCTGTGAGACCATCTTTCCTGTGATAACTGTTCCCATTCATTGTTTTAAGGTAGCACCTTCTTCACGAATATATTCAAAAAAAGAAATGAAAAGAACACCTGGATTCCATCAGGAGAAATTGTTACTCTAATGAAAACTCATTTTAAACATCGTGTGCCACCTGTGTGTGTTTTCACAATGATAGGTATCTGAGACTCTCTTTTTTATTTTGCCTCGTGAAATATTCATTACAAGAGAAAGTTTACCAACTCCTGTAGTGTATATACCCTAGGCTTCGAAGACACTGCCACTTTCTCTCTCTGTTTCTCTCTGTATTGGTAACTAAATACATTTTCTGCTTTGTATTTCTATTATTTATTCATGACAGATCACAAGAAGTGGAAGAATACTTTCTGAAAAAGAATACAAACTAAATAACATGAAGCGGGATCATCAAAAATACATTCGGGAGTGTTTAGCTCAGGCCATTTTCCATAAGGTTCTTGACATGGAGGTACTAGTATTTACTATTTTCTTTATAATTTCTATATTTTTAATAGAATAAATTCCTTTACCAGAGGCTGTGGGAATTCATCCTGTATTTTATTAAAAAAGAATGGAACAAAGTCACCTGAGAAATATTCCTCTCTCTAGCTAGTGAGAAGCCAGAAGACCAAAGTAAGCTTTTCTCCATTGCAGTGAGGGAAAAATGTGGACATCATTATATATTTTGTGATATTCAGCTTAACAAATGTAGATTTTTTAATCCATAATGGCTACTGTAAAACATACCAGCCCTCACCATCTGTACTTCAATTTCCATTTGCTAAAAAAAAAAGTGACATCTGCTTAAATATCAGTAATTCTACTGCCATGAATTATTTCAGATCTGTTATTCTTTTAAGGCACTCAAGCTCAGCCGTATGCTGTTTCAAGGAATAAGCATTGAAACATCTGCTGTCCCTCCTACGTTAGGTGACATTGGTCAGCATAGACTCACAACCCAACCATCAATGGCTTTTTTTAGTCTGACATGGTACTTTTAGTGGGCTATCTAGCTAACTTGATAAATTATTTCAGCCTTGCTCCATGGAACTTGTAGTTTCAAGCATCAACACTGTTTTAATCTCTGTGAAAAAGCCTGTCACTTCTTGGCTTGACCACATTAGCAATAAATCAGAACTCTTGGCTCTTAAAACCATTGACCTGTGGGTGCAGTAAACATTTATGAACAATTGTAGAATCATCAGTAAACCAGTACTAAGTGTATTGTTCCTGAAAATATTTATTGTTATGCTATCATTGTATTGAACAAGTGTTGTGTTCACTTAAGTTGTATAGCCAATATAAATTTAGGAATTTATGGGGTGCATGAATACATAAAATCATTGTTTCTGACCTCCAGATTAACTTCTTATAAAAATATTAGTTGCAATTCTAAAACTTATATTTAAAAAGTATAGTATAAAAGTCATCTTTACTTAATTCCAAATTTTAACAGTAAATGCTGAGTCTTGTATTAGCTTTAATGCTTGAATTTGATATTTTCAAATTTCATATAACTTGTATTATCACGACACCTCATACTATTATATGAGAGACAGCATGCATTTTACAGAATTGGAATAAAATCTAGATAAATGTTAATAGGTCATATATAACTCGCATAATACATACATAATTATATAACATATATTAATATAATGAAAAATAGATTATTTTTCTCCAAATTGACACATTTGTAACACATGTAGTTTATGCTGATGCTGTTTAATGTTATATAAATATTCATGTATTCATTCATGCAACAAACATAAATTGCAGGTTTGCCATGTCCCTGTATGAAACTATGTGATGTCACTGTAAGATATAATTAAAGAAAAAAATAGCTGCCTAAAGTGATCAAAGGCTAGAAGAAAGGAAAAAGCAGAATGAGCTCAGAAAAGAAAGGGATGATGACTTGCCCCGTCAGGCCCAACAGAGGTCTTGCTATTTGAACTGGACCTTAAAGTCTGAGAAAGGCATTCCCGAGAGTAGAGACAGCAGGTGTGAAGTTATAGAAGTGTGAAAGGACACCATGGATGGACGGAAAGGAAAGCTCGTTGGGCCTGACTGCACAGTGGGTTAGTGGACGGAGTGGCAGGAAGTGACACTATCCAGTAAGTGGGGGCTCACTTTCCAGAAGACCTTAAATTCCCAATTAGGTTTGGCGTGTAGGTGATGAGGCGATGAAATGTTTTTCAGCAGGGGAGTGAAATAAATGAGCAGAGCTGTTTTAAAAAGATGATGTTACTAAAAATGTGGAAGATGGATTAATGAGCTGGAAAAGATTGGAGGTGGGAGGTCAATTAGGAAGCTGTTGCCAAAGGGTGCGGGCTAGCAGCAGCAGTGGAAATGCTGGGGAGATGCAGCTGTCCACAGAGATGGCGGAGAGGGAACAAGACTGAGTCTGAAGGAGGAGGGTGAAGGAGCTGGAGCCCAGGGCGACGCTGAGGTTTCTGACTTGGTGGGTGGCATGTGTTGTGGGAGATCAGGGACAAATCTTGAAAAAAACCCTTCAAGCTGTGGGACAAAATGCCCAATAGTTAGAGTGCTGTCCAATAAGCAAAGGGGCTGAGAGCTGCAGTATGGTTAAGTAACATGAGTGTTGAGGGGGAGGGGATGTTAGGGTAAGTGAAAAAATTATCAGGCTTTTCCGTCCTCCTGCCATTAACATTAATGGCGGATCCCTGCAGTCCTAGATGCATGCCTGATGGTGGGCACCTGGAGTAGCGTGTGGGAATCCCTAGGTGGGCACACCTGGCCTGAGACTGGGCTTATAAGGGTGGCGTCACAGAGACGCCGACAGAAGGAAGCAGAAAGAGAACGAGAAAGAGCAACAGAATGAGAGCAGAACCAGCAGAGCAGCTAAAGGAGAAGCAGAGGCCTCCAGAGAATGCCAGAGAGCCCAGAAGGAGCAAAGACTGGGGGATGGGAGGCTCCCCATGCCTTGTAAGAAGCTCAATAAGGCCTGAAAAAGCCACCAAGGGCTCTAGGACTTTCTTTTACCTGTCTGCTTAGATCATAGAGATCCTGCTCTATGCCTTGCTGGCAACACTGGGTAGAAGTGAGGTTTAATCTGGAGGACAAAGACATTAGTGGTCTTGGTGAAATATTGGGTTGTTGGAAAAGTCATAATGTATTTTGCAACAAAAACATAGAAAAAATAATTCATAACTTTTCAGACAACCCAGTAGTTTCAACAATAGTGAAGAGGAGGGGTTGGGAGTGGGTGACTGTGGTGAGTTGGATATAAGTGGAAGGTGGGAATGGTTGAGAGTGAATTCAATCAAGTGTGTGATTGAGAAGAAAGGGAGAAGAAAGGGAGGCATTAAGAAAGGGACTGATCTTAGGTAGGGGATGATTGAGTCTGCAGGGTCCCAAAGGCAGCAGGAGGGAATCAAGAACAGAGCAAAAACAGTTTTTCAAATGCTCTTCAATGTGTCAGAATGATTTCAAATCCAATTAGAAGCAGATTATTTTTACATGAGGTTTATTTTTACATCATGCTGTTAATACATTATCAAAAATGGGGGAATACAAGGGGGATAAAAAAGGAAAATAACCACTTATAATCCCTCCCCTCAGAGATAACTGCTGTTAACATAGTCACATTTCCTGTAGTCTCTTTGCTGTTCATGTTTGTCTGTGAATAAAAGCATGTTATGCTGTGGAAAGAACATGATTTCATGGGAAAAAAACAAACCAACAAAGAGGAAGTTAGTGTTAGATGGACCAGAGTTCTGATTACAGCTCTACCACTGGTGAGACCTATGGCCAGTGTCAAGTTCATGATCCTCTACTTCAGTTGTTTTGTAACATGAGGAGGCTTAGTAATTAGTTTTTTGGGAAGAGTATGATTTGCATGATAATCCTTCCCAGAAAGGGACAGACACACATTATCAGCTTGATCAATTAAGTTATATTTCTGTGCATTCTGTACCTTACTTTTTCTCCTGCATTACATGCATTTCTGTTTTTTTTTTTTAACACAATCTCTGTGTGTCTTATTTAAACAATTATATTTTATTACATTATATGCATGTGCCTAAAAATTATTCATTTGCTTTAAGGTTTACATTGTTTTTGAATTTTTGCTCTGAAGGGGAAAAATAAACAACCTTTCAGTTAACATCTTTGGGCATAAAACTTTTTATTTTTTAATTTATTTTTAAGATTTATTTATTTTGATACAAGATCTGGGGTACAGGCCAGATGCGAGGGAGGTTGAGAGGATTCACCAGAGACAGAGCGGGTAACGAAACAGGCAGACTGGCGACATACACTGCTGAGGGGAGCAGCGGGACAAACAGGAGAGGTCTGCTTCTTCATGTGGGATTCTCGCTGCCGGGCCAGGATCGAACCCGCGCTGCAGAGGCTGCGCACAGCTTCACAGTACAGCGCTCAACCACCTGCGCCACCAGGGAGGCCCTGAGCATAAAACTTTTTAAAAAATTATTCAGATTTCTCCCTAGGGTTAGAAGTGAAATGTGCTGGTTAAAGGGTATGCCTAATGTTTGTTAGGAAATGAGTTTCCAAAGAGTTATACCAATTTATATTCCCTCTAACACACTTATGCAGGTGATTCTTCTCCATCTCAATCACAAGAGGAGTGATTGGGAATACAGTTAGTTGATGGGGATTATTTTCCTCAAAAAATTTCTTTGCTGTAGTTGATATGATTCTCTCTTCCATTTTCCCTATGAATGTTTAGCGTTACCACCATCTTGAAATAAAAAAGGAACTGGAGACCTTAGCTAGGAAGGAGCGAATTCAGAGATTTAAGGTAAGGAGCTACATAACTCTTTTCTTTTGTAATACTATTTTGAGATATTGAAAGCTATTGAAGTTTCTTAGAGAACTTGAGAACTTTACATTTGGTAACTCATATCAGATCAAATGATGGTTCCAAAAAGTTTATATCTTGGCTACCATCATCACAGATGTTGACAAAATCGGAACTGACTTTGCAAAATAAACTTTTTAAAGAAAACTTGGAATCGTTCAAGTTTGAAATTTCTTTTTTGTATTTTCTTGATTGATATGTGATAGTGGCCAAATAATTTGTCTTAAGAAGGTAAAAATAGATGATGATGTTCCCAGTTTGATCAAATACATAATTTTAATCACTATGCAATGGTACATTTCTTATGAACATGACCCTAGAAAATTCATGATAAGAAATATCTGTGTTAACATAGATCTACAAAACCCCAAGATTTAGACATTTTGTGAAGCCTTTTTAAAATTTCTCATTTTCTAATTTTGTATTTGATAGTCCTTTTTTGCAGTGAATTTATGAGATATAAACATTTGAATCAAGAGTTGAGAGATACAATTAGGCATGTTTGAAAGGTTTCATTTTAGGTTGGCAGTTTTACTCAATTTCTTGAGCCATTCAAACTCACATGCTGTTTTTCATTTTCTGTGTAGTATTAGAAAGTGGGACCTACCACACATTTCACAAACTGATGAATATTTGTAAAGTTTCTGCAGAACAACTTGCCATGTAAGACAGTAATTTTTCCCTCTTGCCTGATAGACTCAAATCTGTCTATTTTATCATGGTCAAAAGGAAATCTTGTTACAAAAATGTTGTTAAATAACAGAAGATAGGTCAGTTTTTCAAGATCGGAATAGTTGGTGTGTGGAGATTTGCGGTTAATTCAACTTTGCCAATATTATTCTACATCAAGGACTGAGTTATAGATTCTGTAATTTGTCTGCTGAAATGTTACTGGAAAACAGTACACTTCCTCCCTGCATGACTTTTTTTTTGGAGGGTGGGGGGAGAAGAATAGGAGTATAGGCCAGAGGGGTGTGTGTGGGGAAGGGAGGTGACAGTATTCAACAGAGACAGAGTGAGGAGCAGAGTAGGCAGATTTGCTGAAATTCACTGCTAAGGGGAGCAGCAGCTGAGACAGGAGAGGTCTGCACTGCCATATGTGGGCTAGCTGCATGTGCAGGAATTGAACTCAGACCTTCATGGTGGGGTGGGCCACCGTGGTGATAGTGCTGAAGCTTAACCCCTAGGCCACCAGGGGGGCCCTGATTTTTAATTTTAACAATTTCCCCTTTATAACTGTGCTGGTTGGGGAATCTATTTTAGGGCCCCTTTTGCTTTTGCCTTAGGGCATATTTAATTATTTTTAGGGTAGACAAGGAATACTTTCTGGGAGTATTTACTGTCCAGAGTTGTTAGGAGCATGGTGCCCCTTGAAGTGATTTGTTACACTAATCAAAAATGTGCAAAAATATTTGAAATTTTGAGGTTCACAGCAATGTAAAAAAAGTGTCAAAAACACAGTTTACCAAAAGAAACCAGATACAAAAGAATACATGTTAGATGCTTGCTTTGAGATGAATTTCCAGAGCAAGAAAAACTAAGAAATAATGGTGAAAAAAAGTTTGCCTCTGTCTTGATTAGGAGGCTTCTGGGAATGGTGAAGGAGGGAAATATCTGAAATAACTGTTCATTTTCTTAATTGGGGTGATGGTTAAACAGCTGTATATATTTGTCAAACTCATTGAACCTTAGAATTTTGAAGGGTTGAATATTTTGCATGGAAATTACACCATGAATAAAAAAATGCTATTACATCTATAAAATTATTTGTTTTAGAATAAAGAAAATTTTGCAACTGTCATAGGGCAAAATCATGATTTTTGTACTGAGAAACAAACCAATACCCTGTACAGATTTCTTGTTTCTGCATGTCTGTGACTGAGGTACTAACTGTGCTTTGATCCAGACTGTTCAATAATACTTATAATAAATTCTCTTTTGACCTCATCCAACTAAGTTTTTGCTCAAGCTGGCTCTCATAACTTTAAACAGAAAAATACTTATGGAATGGAAAAAAAATGTTCATTGATAATTTTTATACGCCTATTGTTTCACAGGATATTAGCTTTTTAATAATATTTTAATATATATTTTTTAAGATTTATTTATTTATTCAAGAACTGGGGTACAGGTCAGAGGTGTAGGAGGGTGAGAGAATTCACCAGAGAGAGCGGGGAGCAGAACAGGCAGATGGACCAAAAACACTGTTGAGGGGAGACATGAGAGCTCTTCTGCGCCATGTGGGTATTTCCCTGGCCGGCTGGGAATTGAACCCATGCTGCAGAGGCTGTGGACAACTTCACAGGGCTGTGTTCAACCCGCTGTACCACTGGGGAGGCCCCAGAATATCATCATAATTTGTACTTGTTAATATATACATTTTGGAGGAAAGGGTGATGGAGTTTTTGGTTCTCTGGTTCAAGGTGTAGAATGCAGGAAGTGAAAGAAAGGTGTATTTGTTAATTCATAACTATTTACAGTTATCAAAAGTATAATATAAGCAAAATCCTTTCGAAAAAACACTTTGGACAGAGAAGATTATGGTGAAAAGCATTTATATCATGTACTTATTCTATTCTCATTCTAAGCTTGAAGATGGCATATTTGTATACATTTAATTATAAATTCCTATTTAAATATCAATTGTACTCATATATGTATTATATACCTATCATATGTATATTTGATAATGAAAATGATGGCTATGAAAAGAAAAAAGATTAATAAATATCATTATTTAGTCTGAGGATGCATTTTTTTGAGTACAACTATTTTATCGAGTAAAGCAGACTCAATTTCCTGCCTTTTTTCTATTATGCATGATGAACTGACTCTTCAAACTGTTCATTTCCCTAGTAATCAGTACTATACAAGCAATAGTTTCCCTCAAACATATGTGATCAAATATGTCAACAAACAAAAAATATTGTTGGTGGTATATATATATATATATATATTATATATAAAACCCTTCCCACCTTTTTTATATAATACCCAATACCCAATACCTGTACAGATGTGGAAAACTTTTGCTAATTACCACAATAGACCTCAGGGAAACACTTTTGAAAAGAATGAGAAAAAATGTCTTTAAGCAACTACATATAGTCAAATCATACCTGTTAGCTGGCAGATACTGACCTAGGTTACTAATTATGATCATTTGGCTAAATCACTTTCTTTATTCTAGGGAGAGCACACAAGATGGTCTGTAGAAAATAACATGCCAGTCCTGTCTCCCCATCCTCCAGTTGGCCCAAAGACTAACCGTGGTCATAGTGTTCTGGTTGATGAAAAACATTCCAGTCCATTAACACTGGTGAGTCATGTTAAATACTGTCATGCACTATCCCAACTAATTAATGTATTACTTGCTATCACTCTCAGAAAGAACATTCTATGGCATGTGTCAGTAAAATGCTGTAAATCCCACCGAATGCAAACCATAGTCTTATGTCAGCTCACTCTACTGAGCATCCCACTTCTGAGCATCCCATCAGTGTCACTCCTGTCAAATCCATTTTGCTTGTTACTACTAGATTAGTTTTCTTGAAGTGCAAATTACTTATGTCACTTTCATGCCTAAATATTTTCATTGACTCTGTGCCACCTATAGAAATTGTCACCTGATATTTATGACCTTAGACCATTTGACTTCAATTTACTATCCTCACATATCCCCCCATAATTACCCTTTAGCACCCTGCAAGTCAGCAAAATTGAGACACTAGTTACTCCATGTGTTTTATATTTTCTGATCTCTGAATTTTGTTCTTGCTGTTCCCTCTACTCTAATCTTACCTTTAAAATTTATTTATTTACACATATTCAGTGTTACTGTATAGTATGTTAAGTCAGATAAATATGTTTGTGCTTATTTTAGCATCAAAACTATGTACACATATTCTAAAATAAAAATAATTACATGTATAGAAAATCTATTTAAATAAATTGCACACTGACATTTCATTACAGTTTGATTTATTTACAACTCAGAGATGGTATTTGCTTGAAGGAAAGTAAGGTAGCATAAAACAATATAGACAGAAGAAAAGAGTTGCAAGATATTTGCTGGAGGTTGATGGTTTACACTGTATATGCATTGCTTGATTACGTCTTTATTCTAGCTTTGTGGAGCTTAAATACTTCCTTGTTAGCATGATCTTTTTTTTTTTTTTGATTGTACAATATTTGTAGAGGAACTGCAGCGCTTTTAAAATGTTGAAGTAAGTTCATCACATATGGTGTTAAGCTTTGACATTTTTCAAAAGGTAAATATGTTTTGACATTTCCTGATGAACTGTTCAAGTTATGAAAAACAGCTATCTTTCCTTTGTTGTTACCATATTTCCTGACTCTATTTCAATGCATATATACACAAATAATTATTTAATTGGATGGTACATTCACTAGACTCTCTAAAGCTTAACCTGAAGAAACAAAAGAAACAGTCCAGGGCTGTTTTCTAACTTTCCACCTGTTTCAAAGAGGAAATACCCTTGCAAGGCTGTCTTTTCAATTTTCCAGTTGAGCACCCTCAATAAGTAGTTTATGATACATCCAGGAGATCTTAATGTGGCAGGAGTGAGAAGGTAATTTAAAAATTACAGAAAACATTGACACCAGCATTGCAGATGCCGTTATATCTGGTAAGCCATGATTCTTCACTTGGTCACTATCTGTGGTGCTTGGGCACTGAAAGGGATGATATCATGATACTGGAATTGTAATTCCCATTTTACAGATATTCAAGTCCTTTTTTTAACTCAGTCTGGATACATCGTCCTTACTCTGATTCCCAAGTGACAACTAGATGAAAATAATAATCCTTTTGGGATAGTATCATCAATTTTTCACTTTTAGATCTCTCGAGTGAATAAGGAAAACATCCAGTGAAAAGCATTGCATTGGTCACAATTGCACCTCAATTCTGAAACTGGCATATAAGCCTTTAGCTGTACTGTTCCCATTGAAACTGTAAAACGTCGTTTTACTAATTCTGCACATGTTTGGAAAATTCACCCCCAGAGATCTACAAAGAATTAGAAATGCTCAACTAAGCTGAGTAATCACCAGGTAGTCAATTTTACTCACATTCTAAATGTGAATTTGAAAATGTTAAGCTACAGTGCCATATTTATTTCAAGAAATTATATTATGAACAATTTAAAATAAAGCAAATTTAAGGTAGCTTTTGCTATGAACTACAACAGTTTGTAGCTCACAGCTGTTAGTTAAATGGTGCAGATTTGTTTTTAAAGATAAATGTAATCAGTTAAACATTTGACTGCAGTATTCATCTAACTGAATGATATCTGTATGCAAATGTGGGGAAGTGAAATTTAGAGCACAGCAGCCAATAGATCATGTTCTAGTTATAGTAACCTGCTTTCTTGAATTCCTACATTAGATTTTCAGTGTTTTTGTGTTCAGTTTGGATCTTTTGATAGGAGAGAGATTTAAGGCACTTTTGTTTCACAGAGTTCAAAAGAATTCTTTCAGGTGGTCTGATAGCCTTGTTCAGAAAGCTCTAGTTTGAGTTCTCTGTGTGGGTTTTAAAAGACCTTTCACCTTTTGGGTCGTATATACTTATGTTCTACTTCTTTAAATCAAATGCTGCTTTAGCTGTTCACTTGGCTTCCTGCATTGATCATGACACAAGTGTGAGTTCAGAGGCACAAAATGACCATAACATAAACAAAAGGATGCTCTCCCACCACCCAACACACGTACTTGAGACTCAGCTTCTTTATCATCTTAATTCCATGAAGACCTCAAAAGCTCAGACTCCTTTTTGTTATTGATATGCTAAACTTAATGTGTTGTCTTTATCCACAAAAGCCAAGGTGATGTATTACCGTGTGGAGATTTCAGCCAGAGGGAGGGGGACAGTGATGAGCTTCTTTCCAAGGGCATGATGTGAACATTTCATGCATCACTTCTGCTTACCTGTTATTGCTCAAAACTGAGTCATACAACTACAAAATTTTCTTGGCGAGGGTTGGAATTAGTCTTTTCTAGGTGATATCCACATTTTCTAATAAAATTTCTATTGCTAATCAAGAAAGGAAATCAAGTGTTGTCTGGGGGATATTATCTTTGTCACCCTCCCTGTGTCTGACTCCCAGATGGTTCTCTTTTGCTTGGTTGTTGAAATGTACCATTCCTCTTCTCTGCTCATCCATTTTTTTTATTATGCTCATCAATTAGGATGAAATGTAACTGCTGTCAAACTTTAATTTTTCGTAATTTCATTGGTTTGTTTTAAATAGCTTTTAGTTCTTAATTATGTTAGTTCTCAGATATTTTGCAATTGTGTCTTGGGGCAGTATTTGTGTGTTTATTTCATGCTAGTTATCTTGTATTAACCATCAGATATTAAAAATTATGATTTAATCTTCTCATCATGCTGGTGTAGTCCATAAAATGATGACTCCCAGGGGCCAGATCAGGGCAGAGAAGAATTTACAGGGACAAATGGAAAATAGCCAGTCTGAAAATCTATTTTATGGTGTTTTCCAAAGTTGTCAGTCATAATTTTTCATTTTTGTTTACTTAATATTTCAAGGAAGAGGTTGAATAAATGGTAAAGTATTACCATTTTTCATATTACCATATGCTGCCTTTCCTCTTTTTGAATCATATTATCTGCTTTTACTTGAAAACCAAATTTAGGATTTAAAGGACTCACAGTAGAGGTTATGTTGAAACATGAAAATGGAAATTAATCCACTCCAATAATATCCTCTTAGATCTCTAAAATAGGAACATTATTCAATTTAACATTTAATTGAACAAAGTCATTCTATGCATGGCATGAATTGGGTATTGTCAAATGTGTTTACAGTGTGAATAAAATACAGAAACCTAATAGAGAACATCTCCTCTGTCTAGAATACTCTCTAACTGTGGCATTAAGTTATGTAGAGGACTTCACCACCATATGTTTTAACAAATACTTTGGGTCATAAGGGTATGTATAATGGAAGGACATAATTAAAGTTTAATCTGCTCAGTAAAAAAGTACCATTAATTACTGTAGGCAATTTGTTGGGTTATTAATTGGTTCTGGAAACATGTCAAGATACTAATTTAAATGGAATTTTTTTCCCTAATTGTCTAGACAGCCCCTCGGCCTTATACTGCCCCAGGAAATATGCAGCCTCCAATTCGATTGCAACCTCTTCCCAGCAATCCTGCAGTAGGAACTGTTCCAAAGATAACTCCGGGCTCCAGACCAAAGACCTCCTTGCTGGAAAATGAAGCTCCATTTTCTACTGGGGTAAATGTTACTTCTTAAAGAATTGTTTTTTATTCTTGATAAAAGACTAGATGATCACTGTTTTTAAGATGCTAGATTCAGTGAATCCACTCAGTGAAATTTATGTTTAATTATATCTTTCAAACTGGAAGGGCTGTCATTTCTGTGCTGCTGGAAAAAAATGTTTATTTATTTATTTTTTAAAAAAGATTTATTTATACAAGAACTGGGGTACAGGCCAGATTCGTGGGAGGGTGAGAGGTTTCACCAGAGACAGAGCAGGGAACAGAACAGGCAGACTGACGAAATACACAGCTGAGGGGAGCAGCGGGTACGACAGGAGAGGTCTGCGTGCCATGTTGGACCCTCGTCTGCTGGCCGGATCGAACTGGCGCTGCAGAAGTTTCACGGCACGGCGCTCAACCACCTGCGCTACCAGGGGAGGCCCTGGACAAAAATGTTTAAAGAATAGAATTGTAATACCTTAAGGTGTTTTCACATTAATTTCAAGGGTTGTAAGTAAAACAAAGAAGAGCTTGTAACCAATTCTGACTTCCCTCAGAATAGACCCAGTGTTGGCTGATTCTAAATTTTAGATGCATAAAACCTAGAGAATGAAACATTCCAGAATAGGTTTGCATTTGCATGCTGACTTACTTTATCATCAGTGTATGAAATTAAGTTTGACTCTGAAGAATGCTGGAAATAGAAGGGAAAGAATGTCCATCTTTTAAAAATGCTAAATCAATCACATACAAGAGTTTGATTCTTTTTAAGATTGTCTCAGATATTTTTCAATTATTTTAATAGAGCACAAAAAAGATGTATGATATGGTATAGTATGGTATAGAAACCATAAAATATGAATTAGTTAAACAGGGAGAATTAACATACATTCAGAAATTAGGGGTGGCATTGTTTGTGTTTCTAACATGGAGAACAAATTTTTACAGCTTCAGAAAGAACTGTCATGAACACGTTTGTCACTATATTCAAATGGGTGAATTTAGTTCTTTTCTTTTTTAGGAAATATAGACTTCTATGAAATTAAGATATTTTTATTTAAAACTGACAGATAACCTTGACACTGAGAAATTAATTCAGAGAAATGATTTTTGCTTCACAGCAAGAATATAAATATAACTCTAAAAATACTAATGCTTTATTCCATTTAATATAATGTTCAGCTTGCAAAGCACTTTTCCCAAACCTTAGCTTAGTTAATTTAATAGTTTATCAGAAAAAAAGAGAAATTAATCCAATATTGGTGGCATTTTGTCTAGGAAAGACTTCTTAGATTTGGGCAGGAGCTTGTTGGATGATAAGTCAATTTCTAGGATCTGGTCTTCACTTCGAAGGTCCAGAGACTCTGTTTCTGCTAGTATGTACAGGAACCGTCAGAAGAGGTTGTCTTTGGCTAGCCAAAAAAAAAAAAAAAAAAAAAAAAAAAACAAACAAACAAAAAAAAAATAAGACAAAACAAAACTTACAACAAACTAATTTTTCTTCCTAGAGTAAAACAAATCATAATTAGAGCCATTTCTTCATAAGACATCAAATAATCACAGCTTACAGGAATAGTGCATTTCCCCCTATTTGTCTGACCTACATGGGCAGACAAATAACAATAAGAAGGTTGCTTGGTGAGCATGGAATCAGAATGAAATGTCTTGGTGGAATGGAACATTAATGGTATCCGGTTAAGATGTCATGATGTACCCTTCTTCTCTCAGGAATGCACTGGCCAAAGGTATCAGGAAACTCAAAGGTCTTTAACTGAAACCCTCAGTTTTTTCCAGGGATAACTGCCATTTAGGACAGGAAATATTCAATCAATGGGTAGGATTTCCTCTCCTCTAGATAGTACTTGGATGGACACTTTCCACATTTGCCAAGGTGAATATATTCTTTGCTAAGTTTCTGTGACTTTTAACTCTGCTTTGAGCTATTCATTTTCCTGTTAGTTATGTAATACTACAGTCAGATAATATTCAAGTTCTACAGGCTAGGGAGTGATTTTCCAAGTCTGAGACACTGGGTACGTTTTTTTTTAACCAAGTCTGTTCAGTTTTTCTTTCTCCTGTAACTAAGTTTTAAGGTGAGAGTGACTCAAGTTAGGCATAGGCACTTAGTGATAGAAGACATGGAATAACGAAACTGAGATCAATTTCATGTTAATTTCAACTAGCTAAATTTACACCTTTCAATCAGTAAATATTTATTGGACATTTGCTCTAGGCATTGGTGATCTGTCAATTATTATGGCAGAAATAATCTCTTCCTTACTGATATTTATAATGTTCATAGGGAACATATACTGCCAGAAGAGACAGGTAAGTCTGTTCTGTGGTATTGGTAATGAAAATTATTTCCTGGAGGATCAGGTAAGAACCTGTAAATAACAATAACAGACTGCATATTGTTGAGTATGTAGTGAGTACCCACTAAATTCTATTGCCTTCTTAAAAAAATAAAGGATTTGCATGTGAGAACTGTTTGAAGGTACAATAGCTATAAACTGGATGACCTTTCTAAGTATCAGGAGTGAGGGTTTTTAACTTGGGCAAAAGCCATTTTGTCAAAAAACAGGCTGTTTGAAATACAACTGAGTAAAAATAATGACTTAACTGAAAATGATTATCCTTAGAATGAGAGTTTTTCATACACTATTCATAAAAATAAAAATTTTTACCCCTACTTGTGAAAGCAATATGAGACTACCAACATTTTAAATGAACATACTTAAGCATTTTAACATATATGTTTTATCCTAGGAAGAAATATCAAATTTCAAATGAAATAGGTTCAAGAATATTTAGTACTATAATATTTGTAATAGTGAAAAATAAGTACACCCAAATAGTTAATAGAATATTTTTAAAAGTTTTATTATATATTAAAATATATTACAAAATAAGGAAGAACTATTTGTACTGGTAAGGATAGATATTCTAAGATGCTTTTGACTGAAGAATCAAGGCAAGGAACAGCTTGATAATTTTTAAAAAATTTACTTATTTCTAAATAAGACATGCAATTGATTGATAACTATTTAGCAATTTTAAAAAATCCCCAGTCCGAGAAGTTTTGGATTCACCAATTTTATTAGTGTCATTTTCATTTCTTTAAATTATAGTTGTTATTGCAATATCAATACACAACATCACAGAAAAATTGGAAAATGTAAGAAAAGAAAAATGAGAACATAAATATCACCTGCACTATCAACCACTTTAAGAAATCCAAACTCCTTGGTGAATATCTATTTAAATCCCTTTCTGTTCATATAAATGTTTTCAATCAAAATATAGACTGTGTATGCCTTTATTTAATTTATTCTGCAATGAGAAATGCTTGGAGAATGACTTCCTTTTCTTAAACATGACTTTTAACTATATAAACATCATAAATAAATATTACATTGGCTAAAAGTTAATTAAAAGCCATATTAAATAAGTTGGTATAAAAAGGCTAAAAATAATTTAAGTGCCTTAAAGTTAGGAAAATTGATTCAGATACATAAAAATTCCCAGTCTCTAAAAATTGGGACACCAATACTCCTGGATTTGTAGTAGAGTTTTTTTATTATACCTTTGGTGCTTTCACACATTAAGGTAATGCATGTTGAATACATTTTCAAAGATATATGAAATAGAAAATATTCCTTCAATACTCCAAATATCCCAAGGCAACTCTGTGTTCAAAGTTTTCCAGTCATCCCTGATTTTATCAAAAGCCATATATAACTTATTTAAAAGATATGTAAGACAGTACTGTATGGAACTTTTTATGTCAGAATGAATAGATGTGCATTATTCTTTTTAAAACCTGGTGAGTATTACATGAATAAAGCTAGATTTAGTTAATTGGTCTCCAGTTAAACTTGATGGTTCTACAAAATCTGTATTGTGTGTGTATTTTCTTTTTTTTTTAAAGATTTATTTATTTATGCATACAAGAACTGTGGTACAGGCCGGAGTGTGGGGGGTGAGAGGATTCACCAGAGACAGAGTGGGGAACAGAACAGGTAGATTGGCTGAAGTACACTGATGAGGGGAGCAGCGGGCAAGTCAGGAGAGGTCTGCTGTGCCATGCGGGTAGCTCCCTGGCTGGGAATCAAACTCGTGCTGCAGTGGCTGTGAACAGCTTCATAGATTGTGTCTTAACCCCTTGCACCACCAGGGAGGCCCTGTGTGTATTTTCTTATACACATTTACATCAGTGTACTATAGTTATCTATCTAGGATTTATTCCAAATGAATTTCTAGGAGGAAATAATTTTAATAGAATCTTTGAGTCAGAGTCTCAAATTGTTTCCTCGAAATTATATTTTTAAGGAATATTATATTTCCTGGATGGGTGAAATTACAATGTGAAAAGGTTCTGATCTTTGTTATTCCATTGTTAAGTGGACTATCCAATCCTACTTCAAAGTGCAATATTTTAAACTTGTTGATTTTGAATTATTTAATTGTTTGGGTCTTTTAAGAGTTAATGGACTGTTGTGCTATAAAAATGCCAAACATACCAATATAGGTTTGATTTTAAAATGTACTTAAATAAATAAGCATTGAAATTCATGAAAATTTAATTTGCTACAAATATGACAAAATGCTGTTTTTGAACAGATTGGAGTGGTTTAAGTGTATATTGATATCAGTTGTGTTTGTATACAATGTCATTCATACAGATTTGTCTTTAATTTTAGGTAAATTTGGGTCACCCCTTCTGTTTTCACTGGCTCTTGTCATCAAATGTGATTACAGGGCAAGAAGGCAATGATGAAAATCAGGAACTCTATGGACAATTCACGGGGAGTGAATTCATATCTACTTCCAAACATTAAGAGTTATTTGATGCCTATTCCTCCTTCATCTCCTCCCCCCAGCAGAAAAAACACAAGGGAAAATAGACCTGAAACATGGAGAAGGAGACGATTCCGTCCGACCACTGCTCCAAATGGCTCAGAACCTCTCTTTACCAGGGTAATTATGGAATCAAGTTTTCTTTTATTAATTTAGCACAGATTACATTGCACTGTTAGATTTCTAGACGTGTGTCAAAAGAATCTAGGGAAATCAAATGCAAAATGCTTCACACAGAGAAATAGAACAATTGAATGAATCTGAAACCAAAGGTTTGAAAAGTTCAGTTCATTAACTAACTTAACACAATTGATTAAAGAAAAAAAGGCCGGAAAATCTTGTGATCCAATTTAATTTGTATCATGCCCATTTCCAAATCATTTATTTCCTTTAATTTGTCCATTTATTTTTAATTTTTATTTTTTATTGTAAGAATAACTTTAGTGCATTTTCCTTCTTTTTTTAGTTCTTTTAACTGTGGTAACATTAGGATTCTTTCCATCAGGTATCATCACTGCCCTGCACCCACCACCATATCACCATAGTCCTCCACCATAGTCCATTGTGCTTTGTTCCCTCCTTGTTCTTACCCCTCCCCCATCCTCCCTCCTGTTGGGGTGCTTCAGTTCTATGTCAGCTTTCAAGTGTTTGATTTTAAGATCATCTTTCTCTGGTTCTTTCTTTGGGTTTCTCTCTATTCCACTTATTCGTGACACCATCCTATATATCCTGTATATATGTTTCTCCTTGTGAATTATTTCATTTTACATTGTCTCTTCCAACTCCATTTGCATGTTGCTGCAAATGAAATTATTTGTCCATTTAATCTCATGTTGTCAATGTATCTTAACATTTAATTTGTGAAAATTCTGAACCTTCAATATACCCATAAAAGCATATGACATATAAAATGCTTTTTTAGAGTTTGTTTTTAATGATTTTGGAAAGGTTTAGAGAAAATATTTAGAAAAAAATTATTTCAGTGTTCTTGGAAAATATTATAGTTTGTTTTATTCATTTTGCTCAAAATACTGATTAAGAAAATAATTCTGAAATCCAGTTACACTTTAAACAGATAAAGCTTAGTAAAATGGCCCAAGATCTCTTAATTTTATTGTGCAAATATACAACTAATACTAGTGACATGTAACTTTTGGGATTTGAAACAGACATCTGGGTTAACATTAGAGAAGGGGAGGGGTAAAATACCATTGTGCATGTGGACTTCAAAACCAGTCTCACCTTTCATTGCCTTATTTATCCCAAGTCCATGTCTCACCCCAGCAGCTATCCTCACCAAAAACCTTTTAAAAAAAATTTAGAACTATATTTTTGTTCTTCTCAAACTTTCTCCTTTCAATTCTCCTTTCATCAATTCTCTTCCTTTGTTACCATCTCTGATATCATCATCCTTCATCTCTAAAGACCAGCCTTCACCTTATGTTCTGGATCTTCTTTTCCTGTGCTTAGGGCACCTTGCATTGGCTGTCATTCTTCTAATTTGAACTTTCATCCTCCCTCTAATATTTCTCTCTCTCTCTCTCTCAATCTAGCCAGACCTTACCCAGTACTCAAATCCTTTCCTCACATTCCATACACTTAGACTTCTGCTTTCTCCTTTCTAATTTGCAGAAATCAATACATAGGGTCGTTTCCAACTTTACATAGAATAATATTCATAGTAGCATTTTATAGTTATTCAATAAATGTTTAATACATTTGCAGTCTACAAGGGTGTCTAAATTTGGGGGTATCTTATGCTTATGTGAAATGAAAAATTTATATATATTTGTCCTCTTTGATATTATTTCTCCTTTTACTGAGTATGAAAGAAATATACTTTCTCTTTCCTATATTAAAACTGTGAACATTTGTTTAACTAAACAGTTTATTACATATTAGCATGAAAATAATTTTTCCTTCTCTAAAGTTTGATATTGTCAAGTGGAGCAGAGAAGAAGGGTTCATCAATACTAAAGATCTCAGGAATGTAGTTTACTGTAGCTTAGTCTAACAACCCCAGGAAACTCAGCTTATAATTACAAAATTTTATTTCTTGTTCACATTAGTATCTGTTGCTGGTCAGTTGCAGTTCTGAGACATAAGGGACATACAGTCTCTGTATAAAGTATTTGGCCTATGGACAGCAGAACCATGGAATTTTTTGACAGTTTCACTCAGGAGTGACACATGTCACTTAAAATTGAATTCTGTTGCCAAGGCCTGGCAGCGGTGGTATGGGAAGTATCTGTACTCTCATGGAATATTTGAATGTTTGAAGCAATAATAGAACCTACCACATCCATTAACTTACTTTTGAACTCTTTTTATGCTGACATTGGTCTCTATCCAGCCAACAAGCATGCTTTCTTGAAGGATGTGGCCCCCACTTGGAAAAAAAACAATGATTTCCTCATCTTTCTTACTTGGTGGTAGGTTTTGATTTTCTAATGTTCAAATATATTACTGAGATAAATTCTGCAGGATCATATGTAAGAATATATAAAATCTATATGCATAAGTAACAATTACCAAGAAAACACCCCTGTCTATTACCACTATTACTTAAAATAGAACGCTGCTGCTAGCGTTTGAGCCCATTTTGCCTGCTCCATCATAATCCCCTATGCTTCCCAGAGCCATAGATATCCTGACTTCTGTTTTAATTCCAGATTTACATTCATAAAACTTCAGAAATAAGCTCAAACATAGCATTGTAATGAAAGCACAATATTTCTAGGAGAAAATAAAGTTGAATAGCCTTTGAGTCAAGATTGGGTTTGTTTCCTTTGCAATTTTAAGAACGTCTTCTGGGAAGGTCAGAGAGGCCAAGTCATGAGTGTGTCCTTGAAAAGTGAGGCTCACCAGAGTCAGGGTATCTGATGAGTCCTAATGTGGACCAGAAACTGGACATCCAATGGACTGTGGTCCAGGACTGGGCTGCTGTAGCTGGGCACAGAAGAGAGAACAGTGGCTTCTCCATCCTGTGGTCATTGCAAGTGGGGCAGAAATTAGCATCTGAGGCAGCTTCCCCTTGGCATTTTGAACTGGCGTGAGAAGCAAAGGCTGTGTCAGCAGGTTTCCTGACTTTGAGACATCTTAGCATGTCTGTCTCTTGAGTCACAAGGCTGTAGCCAGCCTTTAAAAAAAAAAAAACCAAAAAACCTCTGTTCTCCCCTTTGGAGTTCCTATTTAGGGAATGCTGGAACTACTAGATGGGTGCCCAAATATTGTTAACTTTTCTTTCCTATTTACTTTGTCTTTTTTGTTCTACTTGCTGGGAGATTTCTTCAGGTTTATATTCCATACAAACTATTGACTTTCTTCTGCTGCTGCCTTATTTTAATTCTAAGAGCTCCCTTTGTGCTCACTGAATGTTGCTTTTAAAGAGCATCTTATTCATGCTCTGTATGATTTTGATTCTGTGGTATTTGTGCAGACTTCCTTTGTGGAATGATGTATGTTCAGTTTTTGTAAAGAATGAAGTTCTCTCGGTGTTGGGAGGAGAGTTCTATAAATTTCCAGTAAATAAAATATGTTAACTATGTTATTCATATCTTCAAATCTATAGCATTCCTTTGTATCTACTTAGTCTCTCAGTTCTGAGTTCTGATGAGAATTCATTCTCTGTAATTGTGGATTTGCCAATTTCTATTTGTAATTATATCAAGTTCTGCTTATAAATGTTGGGAATACCTGGTTGTGCTATCAGTTTAAGGATTACTCCACTTCCTGCTCAAGTGATTCCTTATCATTAAAAAAATGATCTGGGCCTCCCTTGTGGCCTAGGGGTTAAGTCTTAGAACTATCGGTTCTATAGTCTGAGTTTGATCCCTGGCCAAGTTAGCTAACCCACACATGGTGCAGCAGACCTCTCCTGTCTTGCCTACTGCTCTCCTTAGCAGAGTATTTAGTAAATCGCCTGTTTTGCTCCCTACTCTGTCTCTGGTTAATCCTCTCACTGCCCCCTGCACCTCTGGCTTACACCCCAGTTCTCTGCAAAAATAAATAAAATTTAAAAATAGATAAATAAAATAAATTACCCTCTTTATCACTTATTACTTTTAGCCATCAAATTTATTTTGTCTAATATTACTTATTTTCTTTTGGTTAGTATTTCATATGTATATGTGTATATATATATGCATATTTCTCTTTTAAAAAAGATTTATTTATTTATGCATATAAGAACTGGGGTACAGGCCAGAGGTGCGGGGGTTGAGAGGATTCACCAGAGACAGAGTGGGAAGCAGAACAGGCAGACTGACTGAAATACACTGCTGAGGGGAGCAGCGGGCGCGACAGGAGAGTCTGCTGCACCATGTGGGTTGCTCCTTGTCTGGCCGGGGATGGAACTCGTGCTGCAGAGGCTGTGGATTGCTTCACAGTGCTGTGCTTAACCCCTTGCGCCACCAGAGAGACCCCCCCCCACCATCTGTTCTTTATGAATGTATAGAGCGCGTGGTGCTGTCCCTGGCTTCCATGTTGTGTCTCAGGGAAGCATCCCTGGAGCCAAATGGGAAGGTGTGGTGGATCTCACAGCCCAGCAAGTGCGTGTGTGTCCTGTTGCTTTTTTTTTCATTTGCTGCAGGACCTGAAGAGCACTATGCTGCTTTTACAGAAACTATCAAACTAGTGAGATTTTGCTCTGAAGTTTACCTCACCCACCTGCAGCTCTCACTGAGCACTGCTGGTCACCTACTCTATACAGCAGTCTGCTGATAATGAGGATGGCCCATAAAGTAGTTTTTGCAAAATGTGAAAATACAAACTCAAATAAGCACCTACTTAGCCATTACATCTATCGATTTTTTTTAAAAAAGAAAAACATTTATTTTTGTGTATGTTTTGTGAAAGAAAAATCAAAGAAATTCTCTGGGCAAGAATTAGTAGAGGACTTTTCCCATATCTGTTTGTGATCCCCTATCCGGTTCCTAGACTTCATATGAGTCCTCTGCAATTACAGATGCCTGACTGTAAGTTCCACTGCCCCTCAGATTTGACATGGTTCTAAATCAAGTCAGCTTCTCCATTCAGTTGATTTATCATAAACAATTACCTTTATGCTAGTAATTTGGCCTCAAAATCTATGATTCCATCTTCCCTCTGCATGACACACTAGGTAATTATTAAATCCTCTGGACCAGGGACCTCCAGTAGACGATGCAAACTGCATATGCAATTTTAATTTTCTAATAGCTAACATTAAAAAGGAAAGAAGAAACATGTAAAATTGATTTTAAATATTTTTATTTAATCAAGTATATCCTCTTTATTATTTCAACATGTAATCACTATGAAAAATTTTAATGGGACACTGTACAATTTTTTTTCATACTATTCCTTTGATATTCAGTATGTATTTGCTGTCTCAGGACACATTTCTTTAAGACCTTAATAATGACTCCTGTACTTGATAACTCTTTTCCATTTTCAGTGCTACGCCTTGTCAGGGACTTGCTACCTAATTTTTAATGGGGCTATTGCAATCATCTACATACTTGTGTCCTGCCACTACATCAACAAATCATTCAATTTAGCTTTCACTGGTAACAAGAAGCACTAGGCTCGGTGCTGAGATTGTCACAATGCATAAAGCCAAATCCTTGTTCTCAGAAAGACTGTGTTGCAGTGTCTGGTCTTTGGCTATTCTAGTGGGCCAAATTGTTCCTTTCCTCCTTATGAATGTAGCTTGTTAGAGAAATTGCATGGTTTTTTTTTTTTTTTTTTTTGCTTGACTTAATTTGAAAATATTTTTTCAATATCCATTCTAGTCAAAACATTCTCTTGGTATTTTTTTACTTTTTTTTTTTTTTCACCAGTCGACTCAGATTTGAGAGTGAAGAAGGAAAACGTCACTATGACTTTAATACATGGTAATTTAACATATTTTATAGTAGGCTTGATTTATTTCAGAAAACACTTCCATTTAAACAATGTTTTTACTTAAAATTAGCATTTCAGTTTGGCAACTACATAACTAAAAAGAATTTTAAAAAACAGTTTAAAAAGCCAATTCAGCCGGCAAAATATCTTAGCAGCTGGCATTGTGGAACAGAACCTGAGGAGAATGGTAGGACCCAGGAATCTGCTGGGTGTTTGCAACAGTTAGAATTTAAGGGCAGACCCCTATACTAACAGGGTCAGAATTTTGGGCCTTTTCAGCAAAGCAAAATCCAGCTGGATAATGTTTAGCTATTAACAGATTTACTGACTTTGTTAGGGACACAAGAAAGGGAAAGCTCTTGTTTCAACTCAGCATTCTCAAAATCTAGAGTTTTGATACCTCTGGGAGGATTGAAGTGTTTTGTGACATGTCAGGAAAAAGCAGGAGATTTGCATTACATGGTAATAATAAAAATGGGCAAAAAGGAAGTGAAAAGAAGCCTTAGAGTAAAAAACAAAGGAGGAAGGAAAAAGGACAAGGAAAATTATTTAGCTCACAAGAGAAGAATGAATGAATGAATGAACGAATGAATATAGATAGTAAAGAGAAGTTTCCAACCTAACCAGTTGCTGAACTTTTAGGATGTGAAACATGTCTCCTGTCAGAATTTTCTCTACTTATGGCCATCAGAGTCAGCATGGGGTCTGCCTGGCATTCTTTGTGATCAGGTTTTAAAATCAATATTTATCAAGGCTTAATCACCATAGGTGGGGTTTTGTTTAAGAGGACACTTCTTGTTCTGGTACTTACTGAGTTCCTATAAATGCGGAAAGCTTCTGGTATAGGGTGGGGTTAACCTATTGTAGCTTTGTCTCATCAAAGGGCAGAATGTGGAACACAGAATTCTTTCATGTCTGTATTCAGTCTGATCAACACTCACTAGGTCCTCACTAGGTCTTGATCAACACTCACTAGGGAGTTGTGTTTGTCAATTTGTTTTTTTGAATATTAAGTCTGAGAGCTTCCCCCCCAAGCACTCTTTTTGGACTGTCATTTGTGGAATTTCATTTCATCTATTATTTCCTTAGGTTTTTACTTGAGAAAAATAAAATTGAATGAGAATTACTTCCAACTCAGAATCCTCTGTTTCTGATTGGAATGGGATGGGTTTGGAGATAGAAATATTTAACTAGTCCCTTCAAAATGTTTGTCACATCTTTGTTGTTCTTAATACATGTTTCTAAAGTGTACATTATCCAATGAAATCAAACTTAAGTAATTGCCTTGGATTCACTGGCAGTTAGTCTATTCACATTTTTCATGTAAATAAAGGTTGATTTTTAGTAAAGCAAAGAAGGTTGAAAGTAATTTCTGTCCCTTATATATAACCCAACAATATTCTTACTAGGTTTTCTTAAAGTCTTTCAACCCTCTCAGCTATTCTTAATTTTCTGGCTCTACCTCCTCTACATCTTCCTGCTTTCTCATCTTTGTCTTTGAGGTTAGGTGAAAACTATGCTTATATACTAAAATACGTTTGAATATAAACTAGCAGAAAAGGCATAGTATGTATCTTTTAATTTCTGCCATATACATTATTTTCTTATAAATAAAATTTATCAATGCCATAGACTATGAGATAGGTTTTTGAGGAGATATTTTTGTTGTTGGATATATTATTTGAAATTAAAAATAATAATAGTAATGGGTTTTCATTGAACTGAATACCTCCCGTGAAACTGGGTAATCCCAGGCACCTCCCCCATGCAGAATAAGCTCAAGATATGTCATCTTTACTCAAATGTAAAAACACAGTACTAGGTTACAAAAACAGTTGCTGAATCACAATTAATGTGAATTTAAATTGAAACAAAAATATGTGACCAATATTTAATTATTTTAATTTAAATTTTTTGAGAACCTGCTAAAAGAGCCAAGAGCAATTTTCTCTTAACACTATTGGTATTTTGTTGAATATAACAGACACACTTATAATAAAAAATATAAAAGTTTGTAAAAGTCCCGGCACCTACATTAAAGATATAAAGTCAAAATGTACATGTTCTAACTGATAGAGGGATTTATTTTGTAATGGGTGTTTCTTTTTGTGCATTTTGTAAACGTTTGTTGCGAGGTGCACAAAAATGCCTTTTCTACTCTTCATATTCAATGTCATCTGCACTGATTAGAAGGTGACTAGTTAATAAGCCTCCTCTTTTTGTTTATTCCAGGATTCAAGGAAGATTCACAAAACACCACTGCATAGTAATGCAGCTATTACAATGATCTATTTGGGGAAAAATGTGCACCTATCATATGACTTCCGGGATGAAATAAAAGTTTATCAACAGCACTGTGGTGGAGAAAACCTTTGTGTCTACAAAGGCAAGCTACTTGAAAAAGGTACACATAAAATGTGAATTTTTTAATTGCATCAAGTTGATGCTATAGATAAGCCATTGTTGATATAATGTCAAAACGACTTCAATCACTCTATGAAATTATGCATATCCAGGGACTTATAAACCAGCTGCCTAAAAGTAAATCTAGATTTACTGCTCTATGATTGAAACTGAAATGGCAATTACTCTTGCAGATTGTGGAAGAAAGAATTTAGAGTGATTTAACCCAGTAGCAGATTAATTTTGGGATATAGATATATGATCATTAAAATGTTGCATGAATAAAGTGTCCCCCAAATTACAAGTTAACTATTTGGCTTGCCATAGTGAATTATATCATACATTATTCTAAGAGAAAAATATCAGATTGGCAATTTGTTCTTTAGAAGTATGTTGAGAAAAAATATGACAAATCCAATAAACTTCAGGGTGAATCACACCTATATAACTTGGTACAGAATTTGGATAAAGAATTTCTAGTACATTTCTGCCTTCATTTGGTCATAAATCCATGTTTGTTACCATAAGATAATTTTTACATCCAATAGAAGGAGTTCACATTATACTGATGCAGTTTTCATCAATATTTAGTTCTGGAATAGCAGTTAAATGAAATAATTTTTATAGGATTATATTTCCTTGGTTAAGAAACTCTATTAGAAAGTAGTTTTTTTTAATAATTAAAAATATACTTGTATTTGGCTAATCTAGATATAAACTTAGGGGTTAAGGGAATGGAGGGAAACATGGGGTTCTTACTTTTGTCTTTTCTGATTTCCCTCATCAATTTAAAATAGTATTGGTTAAAAAATATTCAATTATCTAAAGAAAAACCATGCATATTTTGATGTTAAATATTAAATAAATAATATTAAATATTAAATAAGAAAGAATAAACACTTGGATGCTCATTTTAATTAAAATACATATTTAATTTCTAAAAATATGTTACATTAAAAAATGATAACACCAGAAAGTATTTTTCTCTTTTATATACTTGACTGAAATGTAGTTTACTTTTGACTCATTTTGTAATAGCATTTAACATTTCATTCCTCTCATCTTGTAGAGGAGGAAAATGAGAGGAGTAAAGAAATACATTGGCTTCCAAGGCCACATGTCCAACCCTGGGCAGGGTGAGAGCAGATCCTGGTCCCTGACTAGGTATTATTCCTGTTCTCTTCATCCCCAGTTAGCTAGTGACAGAAGCAATGAATTTCTTGCATTTTCATTGGCATAGATACATTTTTTTTCAAATGTACTTTTCAGCTATTAATTTAAAACAATTGTTGAAATGAGCTGTAGTCTAAAATCACAATGTAAATATAGATTAGGGCAAAATTCCAATTTTAATAATTATGGAATTTACATAATACAAATTTTACTGGATCTTACATTATGCCTTATTCAACAAAAGGCATATATGACTGCTAGAAAATGTGGTACATACAAGTGAAAAAGAGTGAGACTTAACTAATGATTTTCTGGAAGATGATCTACCATAAGAGGGGAAACCAAAGTCTGTGGGAGAGTGGTACTTGTCCAAGTGTTATTTTTTCATATTCATTGATCCTAAAACTGACTTCTTATGCCATCTGACAGTCTTGAGTAATAGGATGGTATAAGGACTTAAATAATTGAATCCTGTCCACATAATAATTTTGTTTCAGCTTGCCCTTGATTGCCAGGGAAGTAATTGTTCAAAATTGAAAGCTGTGTGGCTTAGTGTTGACTTGTGGTTCAGACATCTTAGTTGTGCTGAAAAGATTTTGCCCTTATTACAAATCAAATCTGTGCACGAATTCAGTGAAATGTGAAGAGGCTTTTAGAATACTTCTATTTAAAAAGAGTGCATTTAAAGTTATGTTTGGAGCAGTAAACTCATTAAAGATCTGGCATTCATTGATTTGTCTTACTTTGGAAGAGAATAATAAAACTCATTTTTCAGGATTGTGACAAGAGCATCTTTTATTCTCATAGAATTTGGACGGCTTGTGTTTTGATTTTAGATATCAAGCCACACGTTGATTGTTTATTATCTATACCTATGATGTCATTGAATATTTCTGTTACTTTGTGTAGAGTATGATTATTCACAGGAAGTTTTTTTTGCCCCTTTCTTCAGTTCAAACAGGCAGACCTTGACTTTCTCCCTTCATGTGTAACCAAAGAACAAAGTAACAAAGTAATCCCATGCTCTTCTGCTGGCTTTCTTGTCCTTCCATAGTCTGATCTTCTTGGACCTATTTGTACATTTCTTATGACTCCCTCACAAACATAGTTGCTTCTCTGCTTTGTCTGTTTTAAGACAAAGAATTTTAAATTCAAAATAGGATTTTAAATCCAGATCTCTTTTTAAAATAGTTTTCTTTTCTTTTATTATTTAAAGATTTATTTATTTATGTATACAAGAGCTGAGGTACAGGCCAGAGGTGTGTGTGTGGGGCGGGGAGGGGATGTGAGAGGATTCATCAAAAACAGAGCAGGGAACAGAACAGGAAGATTGATGGAAATACACTGCTGAGGGGAGCAGTGAGTGCAACATGTGGGAATCCATGTGGGATTCCATGTGGGAATCTCCCTGGCTGTCTTGGGATGGAACCTGCACTGCAGAGGCTGTGGACAGCTTCACAGTGCTGCGCTCAACCTGCTGCACCACCTAGACCAGCTTCATTGCTTTAAAAATTTCCATTGTGTTCAGTGGCAGTTTCCCCTCACTCTTATAGTGGGTTCCAGACTACCACTGATCTGTTTTCTGTCTCCACAAATTTGCCTTTTCTGAAATTTCATATAAAAGAAATCATACAATAGTGCTGTTTATTTACACTCACCCTACTGTTTTTGAGAGTCATCTCTTTGTGGCATCTATCAACAACTGCTTTCTTCTTAGATTGCTGATGTATTCCAGTACATGGATGCACCATGCTTTACTCATATATCCCCAGTTGATAGACACCTGTATTCTCTCCAGTCTGGAGCTATTATAAATCATGCTGCTTTGAAGATGCAAATACAAATTTTTGTATTTGCAGGCTTCTGCTGTCATTTTTCTTGATTCCTAAATGGTTTGATGGCTTCTTTCCCCTGATGATGTGTTGCACTTTTCTGTTTCTTTATGTGTTTTTATTTTTGTTGTTGTTGAAAAATAGACATTTCAAATCATGCATCAGAGCAACTATGGATTTCAGTGTTGAATTTTCCCTCTCAAAAGTTATGGCTGTTCCTGTTTTTGTTGTTTAGTATTTGTAACAAACCTGTATTTCACACCCCTCCTCTCCTAGATGTAGAGTCAGTGGTATTTCTACTAAATTTAAAAAAAAAATCAATTTTTTATTTTTATCTCTTAGGATTGTCAGTATGTTTTCATAGCTTAGTGATCATCCTATGATTAGTGTTCAAACATTTGTGTTTGAACTTTGTGTCCAAACATTTAGAGTTAGTAAAACCTCCAGCTTCTCCTAGTAGCTCTGTTTGCCAAGTATATTAGTTTCCTATGGCTGATATAACAGATATCCCAAATATTGGTGTCTGAAAACATCCAAAATTCGAAATTCTCTCACAGATCTGGAGGGTAAAATGAAAGTGGTAAAATTTCTAGGGGAGGGCCTCCCTGGTGGTGCAAGGGGTTAAGACACAATCTCTGAAGCTCTCTGCAGCCACTGCAGCATGAGTTCAACCCCCCCCCCCGGCTGGCCAGGGAGCTACCCACATGGTGCAGCAGACCTCTCCTGTCTCACCTACTGCTCCCCTCAGCAGTCTATTTCAGTCAGTCTGCCTATCCTGTTCCCCACCCTGTCTCTCGTGAATCCTCTCACCCCCCACACCTCTGGCCTGTACCCCCATTCTTGCATGCATAAATAAAATAAATCTTAAAAAAATTTCTAGGGGAGTTCTTTTCAGCTTCTGGTGATTCCCCCATTCCTTGACTTGTAGCCCCATCACTCAAGTCTCTATCTTCATATATAAATCTTCTCTACATGTCTCTGTCCTCTTCTCATAGGAAATCAGTCATTAGATTTAGGACAAAACAAATTCAGTATATCATATTAAGCTTCATTAATTACATTTAAAAAAAAAAACTTTTCCCAAATGAAGTCATATTGCAAGGTAACTGAGTAGCCATGAAATTTTAGAAGGTAATATTGAACCTACTCTATTGATTCCAGAAGTGCATACAAAATTCAGGCCATTTTCTGCTCCAACTTTTATCTCTCCCCTCCCCCACAAGCCACATATATTTCCTTTTGTTCATGGTGCAAGTTCCTGGTAGGCTAGGGAGGTATATATAGGTTGGACCTTCCCCAATCCTTGCCACTTCTCATTAGCCAGGTATGTGTATAGAACTTATTGAATGCATTTATGACTCCCTTATTGCCTGTATCTTCTGTAAAATTTCTGGCTAGTCCACTATCCTGTTGCTCGCCCTAATTATAACTCTTGTCTCAGGCTAGTAGAACCACTGACCTTTCATGTTAGCTTGCCTCTGAGATACCACTTATTACTGTAATGTCAATGGTCAAGGTTTTTTTTTTTTTTTCACCCTTTGCTCCAAATCAAGTCATTCCCACTGACAGTAAAGCTGCTAGTTATTTATGGCTTACCTCCCCTGTTAGAACTATTGTAATGAAATAGTGGCAGGTGAGTGGGATGAGCAGCCCCAGGCAAGTGTGCTGCAGATTCCCACTGTTCTTAACCGAAAGTTCAGTAATTTTTCATGAATAACTGCAGCTCAGTTTGTTTAAAGTCTTTGGTCTATTTTCAGAGGCAAATTTAAAGGGGAGAAGATTTGGTGACTTCATAAGTCTGGCGTATTAATGCTGTCTCTCCAGAAAAATTTGAACTGCTTGAAGGAAGAGATCACACTTGATAATTTTTAGTGTTTTGTTACATTTTAGTGCCTAAAACAGTGCTACCTTCTGCTGTCATTCAACAATAAATAAGCACATTTTTCAAACATTGTAAAATACTTTTTAACATTGTACATAAAATAATCTTTAACACTCCTCTGTGATATGAGTAGACTGGGTTACACACACACACACACACAGAGTTACTCCCTCACCCCAACTCCTGCCATCTCCATTTTATAGTTGAAAATTCTGAAATGCAAGAATGCTCACCTATAAAATCAAATTAAATGATATCCCTGTGGAAATTCAATTAAGAAGACTAGGGGGATGGTCAAACTTGCTTTGTGGTCACTACTTAAGGAGTTCATATATCATTAGGACAAGTGAATTTTAAAATCTGTTGATAGATTTTCCCAGATGTTAACTTCTCAGGTTTTCTCTTTTCTACTTTGTTTAATTTTGCATCACAAAGAGTAAGGCATAAATGGATGGAATTACTCTTTTAGTAAGTCTATTCTTTAGTATGGTTGCATCTGATTTATATTTTTTAGGAGCTTAATGTGGTATAGACATAGTATTTCTAGATGACAGTGAAAGAAACATTAAAAGTAATGCACTATTTACTAAGAACATTTTGCAGCATATTTCTGGAATCTGGGGAAATGAAGATAAATAAAACCAGCTTCAGTTCTCATGGATTTCACAAACATTCAGGACAGCAAACATCTTAGACCAGGGTTCTAGAAGACCAGAGGCATATACATCACCAGGAACCTTGAAGAAATGCAAATTTTGAGCTCTCCTAAATCAGAAACTCTGGGGTATAGCCCAGCAATCTGTGTTTTAATAATCCTTACCAGTGATTTTTTTGCACATTAAAGTTTGTGAACCACTGAGTAGGCATATTTTAATACTATGTAAAAAGTGCAACAATGGTTCATGTGTACTTTTAGTACAGAGGTAAACATTATCACCTCTATTATTGGTAGAAATGGAAGAGCACAGGGAAGCTTCTTCTGAGGGAAGCAACATTAGAAGTGTCAAGAGAAACAGGTTTCTGAGTCACTCTGTAAAATAGGATACTCAGAGTTAAGGTTTGTATCTCAAGGGTGAGGCTTTTTCAAACAGCATATAAAGATATGGATGACTGAATACTATTATTTGCAAGCAGCAGTTCTTAATTTATTGGTGGGACTTTGGGGTGGGCAAAGGCTGTCAAATCCAGGCAGAATCAAAAATGGATTGGAAATGAAATGATTCTGCTTCATCCATATATGTATTAGGATGTAACAAGTCACAGCAAGGAAAAAAATATTTAAGTGTTACTGAGTTCACAGTACACTTTATCGTTAGCATTACTTTATCAGTAGCTAAAATAGCATAGTTAGCATAGAGGCATGGACTCTAGAGAGTTATTTGGATTCAAACACTAACTTTCCCACCTACTGTGTGATCTTGGGCAAATTACTGAACTCCTCTAAGGCTTAGTTTCCACATCTAGAAACTAGCAGTAATAATATTCCCGCTACGTGTTGTGGTGGTGAAATAACAGACAAGATAATCAGGCATAATGTTTAGTCATAGTAACTGCTCATATAATGTTAATTATTATTACTTTATTTTAAATCAGTTTTATAAAGCCTTGGAGTATTTATTATAAATTTATTATAAATGAATATGTTTTTATGATGGAAAAAATGTCATCGAGTTAAAAAAATGATCTAGACCATAACATTGTACTTATCTAATAGAAAAATGTCATTTTGAACATATTAGTCCAAAGCTCATTGCTTTCACTAATGCATTTCCATTTTAATTTCAGAGACCTTTCAGTTTATTTCCAAAAGGCACCATGGTTTCCCCTTCAGTCTCACCTTTTTCCTGAATGGGATACAGGTGAACAGGTTAAGCTCCTGCTGTGAATATAAGCATCGAAAAGGTTCCAGACTAGGAGGCAAAAGAGGCTACTTTGGGTTTGTGTGTGTCGAGAGATCATCTCCTTGCTACAAGTATGGAAACCAATGTCCTTTGGTAGAGGACACATTTTACTACATTTTTATTCTTATGCTTTTATTGATGCATGTCTCTACACAATTTGTTAAGAAAGTTATCAGTGTAGATGATGCTAGAATATCTAAGATAAAGATTATTACATTTCTGTGTTTTATTTGAAATTATCAGATGTAAATTAGATTTTCAGATATGTTTTAACAGGGATAAAAACTTGTACTGTTTCAAATTCTGTTCCTTTTTTTCCCCTTTCCTTATAATGCTTTAAGTTATGATTCTGAAGAGAAGGCAAGGGGATTTTTAAATCTTACTTCTCTTAGCAAATGATTTTAGGCTAGCCCCAAAGTGTGTGCCAATATCTGGCTTATATGATTGAATGTTATAGATTGTGCATATTAAAAATGTGCCTAGACTGTGGTGTTGCTCAAACATTATTCCCATGCCTCCTATTTGCAATCTCAAACATAACAAAATACATGACAGAGGGTCAATTTGATTGTTGTTTATCAGCTTTCATATTGAACATTCTGTTTCAAATCAGGAAACTTGCTTGCAGGCTACTTTAATTTTTTCCCGAAAATTCCCGTGGAGAATTGACTGTATGCCAAGCTATGAATCAATCAAAGTACCTGTCCCATGGAACCCATTCTAATGGGGAAGGTCAAATAATATAACTATGAACCAATAAATATATGTCAAATGGTAATAGGCAGGATGAATACAAAACCGGGTAAGGAAGATGTGGGGAGTGAGTGGGGACAAGGATGAGAGGAGAGTGCTGTGTAGGATGCTCAGGAAAGGCTTCTCTGATAAGACCAGGAAAAAAATGTCTGCTCCTCTAAATAGCTTTTCATGTAGTGGAAAAGCTTATACAATGGGCATGAGGCAGGAGGCTAACTTGTGAGGTCTCATGTGGTAAGAGCAAATGTAGGGGATGGGAAGACGCATAGCAGATGAGTCATAGAGATAGTGGGACCTAGTCATGTAGAGTCCTAAGGTCATTGCCTTAGGTCCTTGATTTTTTAAATAAATATTTATTTATTTATGCATATACAAACTGAGGTATAGGGCAGAGGTACAGGAGGGTGAGAGGATTCGCCAGAAACAGAGTGGGGAACAGAACAGGTGGACTGACTGAAACACACTGCTGAGGGGAGCAGCAGGTGAGACAGCAGAGGTCTGCTGCGCCAAATGGGTTAACTCCCTGGCCAGGGATCAAACTTGTGCTGCAGTGGCTGCAAATAGCTTCATAGTTCTGTGACTTAACCCCTTGCAACACCAGGGAGGCCCAAAGACCTTGACATTTATCCTGAAAAAGATGGGAAGTCTCTAAAGTAAGTTTTGAGTAACCACCTGTCGTCATTTAATAACTCCTATTAAATGAGAAAAAGAAGCTAGGGATGGTGAGGTGTTGGGACACAAAAGAAATCATCCTATACTTCTCTTGTTTTTTCTAGGTTGGCAAATAATCAAGCATCAGGCAAATTGATAAGAGAAAAAGTAAAAGAGAAATGTAATAATAATGTGTATATACCTCCTGCACACGTGGAGGTACCCAATATAACCAACTCATCACTTGGTGTCAGACACCACCTTAAATAGCTTAACTAGGACAAGGGAGGTTGGCAGGGGAGGAAAGATAAGAGGAGGACAGAGTTTACCAAGAAAGGCACAGTAAACAAAGGTACACGTGAGAAAGACATTAGGAGATTAGGTCTTCTCTGTAATGAGGTAGAGGCCCCTAAAGAAAGGTTTACATCTTAATGTCTTTTTCAAAAGCAACCTCTAACCAGTCTTCAGAGCCTCTTTCCATAAAATCAACCTTTTGACAAGAAGACATGGCAAAAATCCCTCATTTTGGGGTAGTGGATTTTTGCTCCCCTGCATGGGGAAGGGTGGAAGCTACTTTAATGCAGAGAAGAAATAATGGTAGAAATAGCTTGAGGTGAGTTAGATTTATTTGAAGGTAATGTTTATGGGATTTATTGATGGATTGGATACAGTGTATGAGATAAAGAGAAAAGTCAAAGATGATTACCAAGTTTTTAGCCTGCACAACTGAAAAGATGTATAGTTAGCAGGTGCAAAACAGGAAAGACTGTAAGAAGCAGGTTTGGTGATGGAATGAAGGGATTTTGGTTTTGGACATACTAAAATCTGAAACATCTGTGAGAGATGCAAAAAAATGTTGAGTAGATTATTGAATATGAATATGGGGTCTGGTGAGAGTCCTAGACTGGAGATATAAATTTGAGAAGAGCTTATATAGAGTTCTTATTTAAAGTCATATGATGAAATGAGATTATTTAAGAACTGAATGCAGATAGAGAAGATGCAGGAGTAATGACCTCCACATCACTCCAGTTCATAAACGAGGGAGATAGAAACCAGCAAAACACCCATGAAAGAAAGCCATTGTTTAAAAGGAAATCTCAGAGAGTGATGTCCTATCAATGAATACAATGTTTGAAAAATAAGGACATTGTCAACTGAGTCAGATGTGATAGATGAAGTAAAATAAACACTGAGGATCGAGCATTGATTTGGTAATGTTGATTGTTGGTGCTGGTTATTGGTGATCTTGGCTCATGTGGAGTGGTAGGGATCCAACTTGATTGGTATGGGTTTAAGAAATGATTGAAGAAGAACTAAATCCAGAGAATATAATTAATTACTTTTAAAGAGTTTTGCTGTAAAGGATAGAAATTGAGTAGTATAGCCAGGAGGGAGGATTTAAGAGTCAAACAGGGCTTTTTATTTTTTTTAAGATGTCAGATACTATAATGTGGTTGTATGCTGAAAAAGAGGATTGATACTAGAAAATTAATCAAGCATGACATAGAGGGAGAATTTCTAGGGCAAAGTACTTGAGTAAACTAGAAGAGATGGAATCTAGAAGCTCTAGTGGAAGGAGCAACATTCTTCCATAGAATCAGGAGGAGCGAAGGCATATAGGGTAGAGAGAGGTGAGTTGGTGGGTGTATTGGGACTCAGTGGAAGTTCTCTTGTTTACTTCTATTTTTTTCAGTTAAATATGGATTTTTCATACTGGATTAGGGTGAGGGAGAAGGATTTGGAGGCTTTAGGAAAGAAAAGAGGCATGAAAGAAGTATCCATTCGCATGAGAGAGTAAATGACCTCAGGAAGGATAGTAGGAGAGCCCAGTTGTTCACAGGACCCTCCTGACACTGCTTTCCTGTTTCAACTCAAATGTCCTTTTTCCACATTTGTAGTAAGTCACCTAACAAGTTTATGTTTAATTTCAAGGAAAGTTAATGAGGATATATACAGTCATCTGTGTAAAAACGTGTTCTTTGGGAGTTGCCATATAAATTCAAGCTCTAAACATTTGATTCTAAACATTTTCTATGTCAGTTTAATAAATCATTATCAAAATCTGATTAGTGACATCTACCCTCCCATGCAATACTTGCTAGTCTCTGTGCAAGTCTTGATACAATTACACTCAGTCCCTTCTAGCTTCTTCCTTTGACTTATTCAAATAATAACAAATTGGTTGTGATTTTAAAGAGTAAGTTCTATCACCCTCAACTGAAATGCACAGTTTGTATAAGATATTAGCTTGCTAGTTTCATAATCATTTCTTCAAATGTCCATCTGTGAATGTCCAAAGAAGGACAATGTAGTGTCATTTGCTGTCTCCCTGCTGCAGATTAGGTAAAAGTCAAGCAAACTGGCTTCTCTGGGGCAAGTCTGGGTGGGTGAGTGCCAGAGTCTAGCTTGCTTGACTCAGTCCCACTTGAGACAACTCTGATTATTTCAGAAGCACCAACATTCCAGAACCTAGTAAGGGTGGAGAACTACCCCTAAAGAGGTTGATATCACTTACAGTGCTATATATCCTTCACTTCTTTTGCTATCACCTCCATAATAATATTTTTAGCAATTTTAAAGGATGCTTTCCGTTTGTCAAAGGTGAAATTAATTCATTCATATAAGAAACACAGCCTCCTGAAGCTTTTATTATGATAGGGGGTTGTGAGAAAATAAAACATTAGGGAGTTGTATTTCTAAAAATAATTAGGAAGTACCTGTTTAAGTTCCTCATAAAACAAGAAACTCTGAGCACTGGTCACTTCCAAAATATGGACATTTCACAATTGTACTCACCCTCAATCATGGTAATTGTTTGAAGAGACATGAGGGTTATTTTCAGCTGCTAGAGGGAAACACAGGAAGAAGAATTGCCTAGGAGGCAGACTGCTTTGAGCTCTAGTAATCAGAATCAATACCTCAAATTATACTCAGAAGTCAAATAGGTAGTCAGTGACGAGGGGAGCACAGATGTTACATACTTTGTTTGTTCAATTCCCTTAAGCAGATGGGCAATAAAAAAGTCTGTGCATGCAGTTGGAAGGGATCAAAGCTTCTACATAGTCACAACATAAACCAAACGTAACAGCATATCAGAGGCTCCAAATCCATGGATTTGGTGTTGCCATTGATAGCAAGGACAGATTGAACAGAGGCCATGCTAGCAATCATATTCTGTGAAGATCCATGGCACCTTTATTCTTTCAGGGAAAGCAGTCATCATTGCAGTCAAATATTTATCATGCTTAGTATGGGTGAGGTAAATATATTCTTAATATCTCCTGTTACCGCCTGATATTTAAGTGCAAATCTTTTTTTTTTTAAGATTTATTTATTTTATTTATACAAGCACAGGGTACAGTTAGAAGCGCGGGAGGGTGAGAGAATTCATCAGAGCCAGAGCGGGGAATAGAACAGGCAGACAGACGGAGGACACTGCTGAGGGGAGCAGCGGGCGCGGCAGGAGAGGTCTGCGCGCCATGTGGTACCTTGCCGGTGGCCGGGGATCAAACCGGCACTGCAGAGGCTGCAGACAGCCTCACAGCCAGCGCTTAACCGCTGTGCCACCAGAGGAGGCCCCTTAAGTGCAAATCTTTTAGCTTTATTTTATGGGGACATGTTGAAAAGATAAGTAATACTGCTAAATACTTGTATTTTCTTGTTGGGAGAATTAATTAAGATAAATTCTTATGCTAGTTCTTGACTGGGGATGGCTGAAATTCAACACTCTGTAAACAAATTGGATAAGATTCACGTTGAGACAGTTTTAAAATTTTACATATATTTCTGTTCTTCTTGGACTGATAAAGTCTTGACTGTATTCAGATCGCTTTTCATTACCCACTTTAAGTGACTCAGTTCCCTCTTAGTCATATAAGACAGAGAAAAGAAGATGAGTAGTTCTAGGGCCTCCCTGGTGGCACAGGCAGGGAGCTGTGAGCACCGCACTGTGAAGCTGCCACAGACTCTGCAGTACGGGTTCGATCCCAGCCGGCCAGGGAGATACCCACATGGTGCGGCAGACCTCTTCTGCCATGCCCACTGCTCCCCTCAGCAGTGTATTTTGTGAGTCTGCCTGTTCTGTTCCCCATTCTGTCTCTGGTGAATCCTCTCACCCTCCTGCGCATCTGGTCTGTACCCCAGTTCTTGTATAAAAATAAATAAATAAATCTTAAAAAAAAAATTCCAAAAAAAAAGAAGAAGAGTAGTTCTAGAGGAGGAGGGTATGGAGACTGTTACTGTCAGTCACCTTTTTTCAGGTCATGAACTGTCTCAAGGTGAAAACATTTCCAGACCATGTCAGTTTTTGGTGGAGAATGTGAATACTCTTGCTGCTGGTAAACATGGCACTGTATTATTTGTCTGTGTGCCTGTCATCTGAGAGCCACCTGTAATCTACTACCTGGCTGTAGTTCAGTGTGAGGGCACAGAGTCTAGCAGCCCTATGCTGGAATCCAGCTCCATCATTAACCTCAGGGTGAGCTAGGATGAGTCATGGAGCCCTGTAAGACTCAGTTTCCTCATTTGTAAAGTAATGATGATAGTTCTTAACTTACTGGCCTGTGGGTTAATGAACCCTGTAAGATAATGTCTATAAAGTATCCAGGAAAGAGTTTGGAACAGGAATACCAGTACTCTAATCATGGTCATAATCATCATTGTAGTTTTTAGTATTATTATTAGAATTCTGATTTTAATATTTATTTGAGAAGTAGAAAAAAGCTACAGAAGAATTCATGTTACTTTTTTATAGTTGATTAAAATGTTTTAATTTCTCAAATATTATTTGATCACCTGGTTGGTTCACCAGGTTTGACTATGAATGACATTATGACCTCTAGAAATGATGACCTCTTCAAATAACAAGCTTATTGCCAGTGAAAATCATCAAAGTACTGTGGTACAAGTTTCTAAAGGCCATTTTAAAAGCGATAATGGCATTTCTATAAAATAAGCATGCAGGCTCCTGAGGTGACAATGTAAAGGGCACAACAGCATTTGACTGTATATGTTTCTTTAAAGATCAATCATATTAATTTAGAGCCAAACTTATATGCAAGTCTTTTGTTGTTGCATTGGAAAAATAAATTATCAAAGACTGGCATAATTCTTCTTTTGATTACTTTTATTTCTACTTCTGTGTGCTTATAAACCTGAATGCTCTTTTATTACAGAATTGTTGCTTAACAATTGGAATTACATATATTCAACTATTTGATAAGGCCCAAAATATGATTTAAGTCATAAATTTAGTTTGTCAATTTAGTCATGTTCTTATAACATTTCTTACTGGATAAAAGTTAAGTGATTCAAAATGCTGTGAGTTTCCACTGCACTCTACATAAAGGTTAATAACAACTTATGTTACCTTTCACAGGTGCATTATTGCAATGGGCCTTGACAAAAAACCAACAAAACCTCGGAAAGAAAAAAGTATTGAGAGAAGAGAGGAACTGAAGAAGAGTGACAGGAAACTGAGGAAGGACAGAGACTACTTGATACCAAGAAGGAATGAAATTGAGGCTATTTTTTCAGTTCAAGAAGAAACAACAGGCATCAAAGAAGTGAGAACTGCTGTGGAAGAACTAGAGCGCAAAGTAAAATTAGAACAAGATGCTTGGGAAGATGATCAGGAAAATATATTTAAATACGGTAAGAGATAGCACAAGGATCTTTTATTATTGCATCAATATTTAAAATGTGATTATTAAAATTTGTGAAAATATCCATTAAATTTTGCCACTCAATTATACTTTAGGCAACTGTAGAAGGTGAGAATCCCTGACTTTTCCATGTTTTTTAAAAAAGATTTATTCATTTTTATTTATGCACACAAGAGCTGGGGTATAGGTCTGATGTGCAGAGAATGAGAGGATCCACCAGAGACAGAGTGGGAAACAGAACAGGCAGACTGACTGAGATAAACTGCTGAGGGGAGCAGCGGGTGAGTCAGGAGAGGTCTGCTGGGCCATGTGGGTAGCTCCCTGGCTGGGGATCGAACTCATGCTGCAGAGGCTGCAGACAGCTTCATAGGTTGCATCTTACGCCCTTGCGCCACCAGGGAGGCCCTTCTTCCACAGTTTTGCATGGAGCCTTTTGTCTCCCACTTTAGAGGAGGGCAGGTCTAACTCCAAAGGTGTTGAAGGTTCCTGTGGTGGAGCAGGGGGAGGGAGCTCGTGTCTGTGTGAGCCAGGGCTCACTGACATCTGCAGAGACAGTTTTCAACAAATACATTCTTTTCCTTTTTTTTTAAATTTTAGCTTTTGGATGGACTTGCTTTGGTGAAATTGATGCTTTGGCATTTGGGTAGACACAACCTATTATATAACCTGATTATATGGTGATAAATTGTTTGGGGTGCTGGAACCCAGATTGGGGTCCTGGAATATATTTATCAGCCTCTCTTGTTTTCTTATTCCTTTTCTTCTCCTTTCCCTTCTCCTTCACTTCCTTCTCTTACTCCTCCTCCCTCCCTTTCCCCCACCCCACACGTCCACATTCAGATAAACAGTAGTAATAATAACAGTAATAAAAGTGCCAGACACTGAGCACTGGGTGAGATACTTTTCACACACTGTGTAATTTTATCCCCACCATTTGATCCGGTAGATGTTATTACCCACTTTATTTTACAGGTTGGGAAATCGAGACTTAGATGAACAGAGAAAAAGTGTTGGGACTAGGATTTATACTGTAGGGAACGAAACAATATTTTCCTCTGTCCTCTTCAATTCAAAGGACAGGACCCCTGTCAATTTGACTGACGAAAGAGACTAACAAGAGAAAAAACCAAACACGTTTGTTAGCATGTAAATCACAATTACACATGGGGATAAGTAACTCAAAGGGGTGGTTAGAACTTGGGCTTACAAAGCATCTCTAAACACGAGAACGATACATTTTTAGACAAGTGGCAAGGCAAAGGCAGAGGGCTTTGGGGCAGCAAATTGTGGGAAGGCAAATATATCAGGGAACTGATTGTAGATAACAATTTTTAGTGAGGTTTGTTATGCCGATTTCTCTGGTGACTCCTCTAGACTGATAAGGGTCCAGAATTGTCTTCTGTGATTAACTTTGTCCTTCCTGGTAGAGAGGAAAGGGAGACACCTTTACAAATTTATATCTTACTTTTAGGCAAATGGGGAGTGGGAATGAAGGCAAAGAAATGTTGTTGTTTCTATCTCTTCTTCAGCTCAAAAATCATTCTTTAGCTCAAAATCATCCTTATGTCAACATATTTTGGGGTGGCATATTCTGCTACCCCTCAATACCTATGATTGTTTTCTAAAGCCCAGACTTTCAGACTCTGTGCAACCTTCTATTTCTGTATATATTATCCTGGGTGTGGGTGATATGTTCAAAGAATAAGAAAGGAGGAGCTGTCTGAGTTTCCCCTTTTTTTTTTTTAAAGATTTATTTATGCATCCAAGAGCTGGGGTGTAAGCCTAAGGTATGGGGCAGGGGATGTGAGGATTCACCAGAGACAGAGTGGGGAGCAGAACTGGCAGACTGACTGAAATACACTGCTGTGGGGAGCAGCGGGTGAGACAGGAGAGGTCTGCTGCACCACGTGGGTCACCTTCCTGGATGGGGATTGAACTTGTGCTGCAATAGCTGCAGATAGCTTCGTAATGCTGAGACTTAATGTTTTGCACCACCAGGGAGGCCCCCTGAGTATCCCTTTAACACCTGAGAGACAGAGTCTGGATTGTGGGAGCAATAGCCATGGGCTAGGATAATCCATGAAAGTGCTGGCGTCAGGAAATGGGCAGATCCTAAGTCCTTTCTTTCAGACCTCATATTATTATTCCCTAAGGTTTCAGAAATACAAGAGAATTATTACAGAACTGCATAGCACTGGCTTTTGTTTATTACTGAAATAATGTGATTATCTTAAAGATTTCAGTCAGCATACTTTGTCCCAGTTTACCTCTCTACAACCCCTTCTAATCTTTATTCTTAGACTGAGAAGTAATAGATAGATAGATAGATAGATAGATAGATATAGATCAATATATAGATATAGATATATCAACCACGATAACAGGTTAACAAATGGGATATGTTTTCATGTGTCTTAATTTTCAAGATTAATAATTTGTTAAATCTTTTCCACAGGGGCTTTTCATTTTCTTCAGTTTTTACTTTCTTAAACCAATATAGCCAGTGCTATGAATGGCATAGTTTATGCCTATCATACAGCTTTTCCCAGGATCTCTCTTCTGTGTTGGCTCAGTAATGGGTTTTCAACGCCCATTTCACTGCTAAGGACAGCGGGAGGCTTGAGTGGAAGTCAGAGAGGGAGGGTTGTAGCTAGAATGATGCTGACCTCCTGTTGACTCACTTCTTCATTAGTGGCAATGATAAACAACTAATTAATTAAATTCTCTGGAAATAGGAAGATGAGATGGGAAACAGAAGAAATTATGAACAGGAATTTGAAAGCATGCCACCAGTTCAGTCACAATGCAGCATGAGGCAATGCCCCAGAGGAGGTGGGCCTTGGTATAGTGTGGCTAGAGTGCTCATGGTTAATGGAAGGCTAATATTTAGATGTCATGGTAGTGATGGAAGAGCAAAGCTAGGGCAGTTTTAAATTTCATATTTTTGAGAGAAAGCACAGAAGCTCTTGCAAAGCAGGGTGTAGGGGCTCCTGTGGTTTATTACATGTTCCTCTGATTTTATGCTCTGCTGCAATAATATAACTATTATTAACAATATAATATAATATTATAAATATTATAATTATTAATGTCATTAATATAATATAATTAATATTAATAATAACTGTTATTAATAGTTATATTAATAGAATAGTACAATCGTATCCTAATAGTGGAACTTGTGCTTCTTCCATTTTAATCAGGTGTGTCCGTTAATGTGTATTGCTGATAATAGAGAACGCAATGTGTGTGATTTCTGCTATTCATGACAACTCCCTCCACTTCCAGTACCAATCACTATTACTACTAATCCCCATTACTGATTAGGCATCTTCTGCCATTGACATTATACTCAATGTGTTTCAGGGATCATTGCTTTCAATACTTGCCACAGCTGTGTGAGGCAGGTACCACCCATGTTATGGATGAAGAAACTGAAGCTTAAAAGATGTTAAGCATATTATGTAACTCACACAGCTAGTAAATGTTATAACTGAGACAGGTCCATGGCTACCTGGCTCCAAAACTCTCATGTTTCACTACTATGTGATGTGATTGATGGAATTTCAATTCATTCATCTCCATTGAAGAGTAACAGATATTTATTAGTCATTGTATATGTTTCCCTATTATGTGTATTCTGTCACTAACCTCAATTTCCCTTTTCTGAAGACTTCCGTGATTGCTCATAGAGTTCAAAGCCTCCTTTGATTCCATTCTATTTATTGGACACTATCTCACATATTTAATCAAGGGTTCAATGTAAAAATCCATAGTCATTGAACTCCATAGTGCCAAAACTAACAATACTGAGGACCATGTATAAAAACTTTTTTTAAGTAAATGTAAGATAGACCTAATTTTACTTTTTCCAGATGACTATCTGGTTGTCCCAGCAATGTTAACAATCCAATTTTATCCACTGATTTTATTTTATTACTAGTTTTTCTGTCCCCTTGCCTTCCTTTTGAAGTTTTTAAAATTTATTATTATTATTTTTTAATTTTATATATTTTACATCATTTTCATTTTTGCACAATGCATGCATTTTCATATTGGTTATAGTCCCCATACAATTCCCACCCCTCTTTGTTTTGATCCTACTCCCTCCTCCCCTCCGTAGTGTGTCTCTGGTTTTTAGTTGCTTGTTAACCTCACAACTCCCACAAGCCATTATTAATGGCTACTGGTTTTGCTTTTTTAAAGTGATTGTACCGTATTGAATTGTCGCTATGTAAATGTCCAGTATTTATTTTCATCATTCTGACTTGCTTTACCACACATAATTTTCTCAAATACCCTCTATTTTGTTGAAAATGGCTGCATTTCATCTTTTCTTACGGCTGTGTAGTACTCCTTAGTGTGAGTATACCACATCATCTTGATCCAGTCATCCCATGTTGGATACTTAGGCTCCTTCCATACCCTAGCAGTGTAAAAAATGCTGCCGTAAACACTGTGGAACATGTGTTGATGGTTTCATGTTCTTTGGATATATACCAAGGGTGGGATTGCTGGGTCATTATGGTATTTCCATTTTTTAGTTCTTTAAGGTAAATCCAGATTTCTTTCCATAATGGTTTCTGTAGTATACATTCCCACCAACAGTGTAATAGCTTGGTGTTGATACATTCTTTTAGTTTTTGCTTTTCAATGATGCTCCTTACGCTTCTTTCCTTCTTTAATATTAATCATTCTGGGTAAACAATACTACACTGGAAGTTTTTTTTTTCTTTAAGTAATTTAATTATTTCCTTCCACTCTTTTCATGCTTGTAATGTTTCTACTGAAAAGTTTGGTGTTACCTTATATTTATATTTGATGTTTTTATTATCAATGTTTTTAATATTACACTGCTGTCATTGACTTCAAAAGTTTTATTATAATGTGTCTTGGTATGTTTCTGTCTGGCTGGCATTATTGGTTTGGGACTCTTTGGACCTCTTGGGTCACAATGGGTGGTTCATTTCCCAGATTGAGCTGATTTTC